TGGTATTCGGGAATCGATCTAACTTGTATACACCCCAAGAGAGTGAGATAAATGGAAGTTCACGCTTTTAGTTACTCATCACCCGACCACCGGATTCGAGTTTGTAGAGTACTGCTCACCGTAAGCCTACATAGAATGTTCAGTATCTTCAAGTCGGTAGTTTGCAGGTGAGAACTAGTCAAAACCCTCCAGAAATACACTCATTTGCAAATCAATTTGGTTTTCACGAGGGACTCAACTGAATCTGTCGTTTATGATATTCTACAACTGAATGTGCTGCACACAGGCCGCCTTATATCATAAACCAGAGATTCAGTTAAGTCTCTCGTGAAAACCAAATTGATTTGCAAATGAGTGTATTTCTGGAGGGTTTTGACTAGTTCTCACCTGCAAACTACCGACTTGAAGATACTGAACATTCTATGTAGGCTTACGGTGAGCAGTACTCTACAAACTCGAATCCGGTGGTCGGGTGATGAGTAACTAAAAGCGTGAACTTCCATTTATCTCACTCTCTTGGGGTGTATACAAGTTAGATCGATCACTAATAAAGGTCAAGAGGTAAGAATAAAAATAGCATTAAATGGTTGCTTGTATAGAAGTGCACTCAAAGTGTCTTCACAGGCTTGGGTCTTTGCGTTAGACCCAATAGACTGACTATGGCAATATCAGCTGGGGTTTCCCCTAATGACGCCTTCAAATTCAAAGTGAACTTTTCTATTTACAGTGAAACAAGATCTCTGGGAAAAGCAATGAAAGTACCGGAGGATATATATTATTGGTATCGATGAAGTCTCAAGCGTAAGCAGGTATTGATAGGCATAAAAGTCGAAAAAAAGCATCTTCGAGCGATTAAAGAGTTGGTATACGTCGAAGGGATAGTTCGAGCAACGTAGAGCTAACAGTTTACAAAATGGGGGCCTTACTACCCACCAACCACTGAACGAGTTGATGGGAAGCACACTTATGCTCGTTTTAGTCGCACGTTGGGTGTATGTAGTTTAGGAGAACACTCGTTCTGGATGATTGCGTTCGAGTAGGTTTGGACTGTGCCAATATTTTCGAATTTTTCGTCACCTGATAAAAGAGTGTCGTATCGAGTTGTGTCCAATCTGAACAGGGACTTCTCAGTGTGTGACCGCGTCAAGTGAATTCCGTGATTGAAGGATGAGTGGTGCGAGTCAATTACATTGCTGATAAGTTTTGTTGACCACAGTCTCCTTAATGCCTTCTTATAACCGTGAACCCCGGTCTGGATAGCCGATTGATAGACTGGTCCACTTGGCCAAACCAGAGAAAATCAACGAACGTGTCGCGTACAAGCGGGTCAAAAAAAGTGATACCAAGACTACAACTCACCTATCAAGGGCGAGTGAAGAACAACCAATGAAATCTTTTTCAACGAAAACGGTTGTTCCATTGGCTGTTATGCAGTCCCGTTACGTTCGGAGCTGGTTCTCCTAATAATAAGACGCTCGTGGCCGAACGGTTAAGTGTTCAAACTACTAGTCAGGAGGTTGCAGGCCCGAGACTCTTGGGAGTTTCTTGAGGTGCACACTGCCGATGATTCCCAATAAGAATGTCACAGCTGCACCGTGCTCCTTTTCGGCATAGATTGGCTTTATTGATAGGACGAAGCGCCTGCCAGACAATTAATCGTTTGGTAGTGAGCAGGCATTATAAACCAGTGCCAACGAATAATAGCCAACAGAATCTGGTCTGAACTATTCACCAGTATGACCGTAAACCGATTTGCTTGATCGGATACCTCTCGAATAGGATCTTTATCTCAATCGTACAGGTTCCTGAAAAGACCCGCTTTTGTAGTTTGTCCACTTGTTTCGGGGTCGTTTTGAATTTTAAGTCCATCCATACTGCCCCTAGGTGGGGCTTGACTAACGCAATCGAGAAGAGATTATGAGCTCAACACTTTAACCCAGCTGGAAATGCTGATTGGCCTGCTGAGCTGCGTAGGATATCAGCTGTTTTCTTGGTGAGTAATCAGCAAACGTACTCGAATTTGATGCCGCGAACTGGGACGAGATTGTTGAGCAAACCGTTGTTGAGGCTTTATTAACTGATTTTACCGCAAATGACAACCACCAGTGTGAGGGTTGATCAGTTTGCCGTAATTAACACTGTTGAATCAGGCGTTATTTCCGTAGATTAACTGGCCAAACTATGATGGAATTGCGCCATCACTCGACCTCGGCATAGAGGGCTTATCTCTCAGGCAAAGACACCGCGTTGAAACGGCGCGAAATTATTTCCACCTGACTGACCTCGCTTGTGCACTGTCCATACCGATAGGCAGTTGAACGACGATACTGGTGACTTCCCATGATACATTACAGCCCATATGGTGTGCACAGAAGCCATTAATTCAAGCTGTCCAACTGCTCTATAACAGAACTCAATTCACAACCATGTTGTCCACTCGTTATTACCAGGTCGACTAAGAGCGACCGAGAGCGATCTGAACTGTTAAAAGCTCTCAGTTGGTATCTTTTGATGAAAAAGTCATCGATGTCTTCAGAGCATTGCCAGAATCTGGTGGGAACACCGGATCAGCAATTCTGAAGTACGTCGAATGGTATTCGGGATAAATAACTCATCCTCGATTGATGAACTGTTCACACTGCACAGGTTGCGCTGGCTTGGCCACGTGCTACGCATGCCACCGACCGACTTCCTCGAAGGGCTACTTTCGCACAACCACGTGAAGGGTGAAAGAGAGCCGGAGGCAGTCAAACTATGACTTGACAGCGAAGTGTGAAAGCCATTACCAGCAAACTCATCTGTGCCGGTCAGTGACGTCTTCATGGATGGGAACTCCGAGACGGGCCACATCAACGGTAAGAGACATTGTTAGACATGGCCCAGTCGCGCCCTCAATGGCGGTCGTGCATCCAAGCTATTGCCTTCAATGCATAGCTCCTTTTCCGACCCTCCACCCATTTGACAGCCCACTGACAATGCTCAATTTATGCACCTATTTATCAGCTCCCACCTGCAATGCGCAGCTACTTACCCCCCAATCATCGGTGAAGGAAACTGCGGTAGCTACAACCACTGTACGAGGCGTACGCGGTTATTACAGCTGACAATGATGATGATGGTGATGATGATGATGATGAGCCGTTTTAATCCCCTGGGCCACAAGTGAACCAATAAATTTTAGGAAGAGAGAAGCGCCGGTTTAAATAAATGCCGTACAGTTGGTGCTGAGCACTGAAAACTGGCAATACTGAAATGGTTGGTCGAATACGCACAGGTGTGGAAATCGATTAGGTGTCAACGAGAGACAAATTTAAAACTCAACTGAATGTGATGCACAGTCGCCTCAAATTCTAGCAGGAGCGACAAGCAAGTTCATTACTTATTTTCCTTGATGTGTTGCTCTCATAAAATCGATGGAAACTGAACACCCACTATCGGTTCCGCCTCTCTTAGGGCTGATCAGTTGGGACATGTCTCCAAATTCTCGTCAGTCGAGTTTTCGCGCTTGAACACAAAGTTGAACTTATGTTTCAGATAACGTTGTGGCTCACAAGAGGCCCAGTTGAATGTCGCGAAGCTTCCATTAAGGCCATCATCAATGATAGACTCGGGTGACTTCTATTTGCGTTTATCGTCAACAGCCATATAATTTCTAGCAGTAATATTTAAATTTAAATTTAAATCGTAAAACAAGGGGTTTCCTGGACATCATGAGTAGTGGCATATTTGTTTACCTCGTATCAAAATTGAAGTCCAATTACAAAATGAAATCCAGGAAGACGAAATCTGTTCGAGTGTTCCTAGGAATTGTTCCATCAACTACAACCCTTTTCAGACAACACTCGCTCAAGAATAAAGTGCGCTTGCGGATATTTCGGTTAGTATTGGGGCACCATGGGATATATACGACGGAAAACGGTACTTTTTCCGTGCCAACCAATAAAGCTCATTAGCATTGGTGTTGAAAGATGGTGTGGTAGGACTTCTAGAACGTACCGGTGTAACGGTGGATACTACTGATAAGGCATGCAAGTAGTATGTACTCTCGTAAATCCGCTTCGCGTCTCTTGAAAAGTGAGATCTATTACGGAATTTGTGGAGTCACATTTGCTTGCATTTGAGTAACAGTTACTGAATATCCGGGAAAGTTCACGAAGAAACGTTCAGGGAGAAGATGGATATTTAATTTTTGTAAACAAGATACATAGGAGAGTTTCGCTTTCCTGTAACTTCAGCTGGTGTTTTCCAGTAAACAGCTTCCTGGCGAAGGCCTTCTTACTTTCACCGGTATAGAGGAAGAGGATTTCCTCCAACTTGTACACTGAGCATATCAGGTCAACACCCAGTTAAATTCCAAAGATATATCCCCATCCTCGACACACAGTGTGTCGTTTAGCTCACTTTCAACCAACCATTTAGAACTCTCAGATAGCAACACAAAGTCCCGTAGACAAGTACCGCATCTAGTACCTATCGGGATGACGTGTTTGAACTATGGATTGATTGTCCCTTGAACGCAAATATTGATTGACCAGTTCTGATAATTTTTTTATACTTGGAGGGACAAAAAGGCTAAGAAGATTACTTCCAAGACCACAGAAATGAAGAAGATATCACCACTAAGGAGATGAACGGATTCAAGGAGTGAGACAAAGTGGAAGGATGAAATGGGGAGGAATTAATTCCTGAGTTCTAGAGATTAAAGACTCCGAACGATATTGTTTTTTTGCCCACGTGCTGATTGCATTGTTTTTCCATACAATGCTTTTTCCCTGTCAGATTTAGTGGCGAAAAGATTGAATAACCTGACTCAAGTTTATTCCCAACAGTTCTCACCTTCAAGGCTGAGTAGAAAACGAGGTTTACCAAATTAGGAAAGAGTATCTCCAAGTGATTTTTTTCAAGATTAATTTGAAAGCGGGATGAAAAAAGACCCGACCAACTTCATTATCCTCTGTGATTATAACTTGCTAAGAAAAAGCCCCTTTTTTATACTTCAGCTTGGTTGCTGTGGACTACACAATAGTTCGGAGTTCACAAGCATGAAATCGAATGATACGTACGGAGGAAAATCCTACACTGGTAAGTATATTTTTTGGTGATTTTTTAAAAATATTTTCAGTTTCTGAAGGTAAAGCTAATTTCTTGACGTGGTTTTATTTACGAAACAATTTTCAGCTATACTGAACTCATCATTTTTATACACATTTTTAAAATTTACTATCCTGAATACATATTCAATGGTGTAACGTCAATGCTACTGATGGGGAGGCATGCGAGTAGTATGTTTTCTTCTTGTAAATTCGCTTTGCGTCTCTTGAAAGGGGAGACTGATTGCGGAATTCGTGGAGTTGCTTTGTAGCATTCGCTTGGAGTTGAGCAATGAATGACTTGAGTCAATGAATATCCAGGAAAGTTTAAGAAGACGTGTTCAGGAGAAGATGGAAGTTCAGTTTTTGTCAATAAGATGCCAATGAGAGTCTTGCTTCCCAATCAAATTGTCTGTAACTGGTCACTTGGCCGGTTAACCGGCAGTACATATTCCACGAAACTTTCGGAGTTTCGAACCCGCAATCTTCCCGCTAGTGGTTAAACAATTTACCGTTTGGCCAAAAGTGGCTGATCAGCAGTGTGATTAGCTCTCATTGAGAGAGGACATACCACCACCCATATCTCAATCACGAAAACATCACGTGGTCACTTATTGATTGGCTGTTCGAGTGATGACTTCTCACAGGGCATTTTCACACATCCAATGAAAGTACCCTTCCTCTGAGCTTCTCACTGGTTCATAGTATTGATCTTTTCTTGTCAACTGTAGTAATAAATGTGAAGGTTTGTCCCAGTGATCAGAGCGGGAGTGGATTGTAAGTGCAAAGAGCAAAGGGTGTAGCCCCTGCAACACAATTACTGTTTTTAAGCTCCCATTCGAACAGGGATCTTTCCGTCTTTGCGCAACACCTAGGAGAGGGGACGGCAGACTCGATCTCTTCTACTTTGTGATCATCTTCCGTGCATAACTCCTGTGCAAATTCTAGCAAACAAGTTGAAAGGCCGAGATGCAGGTCTGTGTATGGCGGACGATGATGAGATGACCGGAGTCGCCCGACATGTCAGGCATCTGGTCCAAATGTCGACACCGCACGGTTGATTAGCTTCGGTAGAATTAAAACTCAGATTCGATGCTCTCGTGTGTCAGGAATACAGAGGGAAAGACCGAATTCTCCTGATTCAGTTCAATATACTTACATATGTCACTTATCTCGTTCTGCATTTCCGTGGGCGAAAACGTACTACTATAGACCGATCTAGAGCTGAATGAAGAGGACACAGGTCGGTGTAAATAGAGTTATGTTATTGGTACAATCTTCTCGCCAATTTCCAATTAAATCTGAGCCGATACCAAAACTATAGATCTTTTGCCGTTTTCGGGAATCGTTCAAAATCTTATTACAAACCAGCTGCAGGGTGGTTTTTGTTGTAAGATAGTTTAATCATCTGATAAGAATTCCCTAATGTTTTGACCGAATTATATCATCGGACGTTGCCGACAGGAAGACAATAGTGGATTCAGCATACGCAGTTTATAGCGCTTTACAAAAGACGATGGTTTTTTCAGAAGGATCTACTTGGGCGTTGCCTGTCAGAAGTGTGGCCATAAGACTTCATTTGTGGAGTCAACGTTGAACAACCATGGCTTTATCAAATTCCAATCAGAACACCGAAGGCTTGAGGTACCCAAATGCCAAGACTTTCTGTTCACAACCTGTATTATTGGTTTCAACTTGGTGAGGAACAGGCGATGCATATATTCACTCAGAGTTTACAAAAATCTGACAGTGAAACAGAATTATGGGGATCCCCTTCCATTAGGGAGGATGATGGGGGTATCCCAGTGCATTGACCAGACCGAGCACATCAGAGTTGAGGTAACTGAGACGAGTTTCACCCCACTTGGTACTCATCATGTATACACAGTCCCATAGTTCTCATCAACCTCATTTTTCACTTGAACCTAAATTTGACGCCACTCGCGAATTGCAGTCATTTTCGTATTGACTTGCTTTTGTCGGGAAAGTCGATTAAAGGATGTCGTAAAAGAGAGATTTAGCTGGGATTCAGCTGTTAAGGAATCATCGTATACATAGTAAATTGCGTTAGGAGTTTGAAAGGTGAACACTACTGGATAATTTTATGGAAGAAGCCTCTGGGGTGTTTCCTTGGTCTTGTCGTTTCGTTGTAGTACTTCGCACCACTTTCTCCAAACTTCTTTCTGCACGTTTAATATTCCTGTTATGGTCAGGCAATTTACAACTTTGTTGCGCCTTTTTTTTACTACTTCAAAAACAGTAAATCTGTGCATCGTATTCGTTAATTTCACTGTTTTCTCAACTGCATTAGTCACTACCAGTCGCTTCTTGACCATTAGCTTATCAAACGAGAGTTGAACGGTTTAGTTTGGTACCCTTAGCACCATGAAGCGAGACACAATCCAACGTATAAAAAGCTTGGACAACTGAAGCCTACGTCTGAGCAGTCATCACTTGAGAGCCGGTCAATCAGCACGTGACCACGTGATGTGAATTCCATGATTGGTGGATGAGTGGCCAATTACAATGTTGAATAGCTGACCGTGGCCGAACGGAAGTGTCTGAACCACTCTAAGCGTGACGGTGTGGGTTCGAAATTCCCTTGAGTTTCCAAAGATGCGCAATGCTGATGAGCCTCAACAAGAATAAAACAGCAACTCAGTGCTTCTCGGCTTTTCCACACGGATTGGCTTAACTCACAGGACAAATTACAGTCGAACACACCATCTTGTTTGGTTTTCATAATGTCACTTCCTGACTGAACAGTTTTTTGGTATGGAAAGTTTGTCATACATCCAGAAATACGGGCACTTGTAAACTGTTGGAAACTTTTGTTCAATCACAATATTTGTTGGCCAGGACTTCCATCACAGCGGTTCATAAATTCCCCTTTCGGTTCTGTCGACAAGTGGTAACCAACATCCTTAACCTTGGTCAGTAAACCTCAAATACATTGTACATCCATTCAAAAATATGTATCTGTTCACGTCTGAATTGCTAACTCGTCCACCAATCCCATCCCCACCTTCCGTAATTTATTCGCAGACCTGAAGCACCCGATAATCTGCTGCAAAATGGACCAACATTATCAGCTCGTCTACGAGGACTGTCCCACGAGATTCACCGCGAACAATAGCAATATTTACACACCGTGCCAGGAGCCACTTCGTAACACATTCCTTCAGTATTTCGACTATCTGGTTTTTGGAATAGCCGGTCTCATGGGATTGTTGGTACGTGAATGCACCAAATTCTTTTAACCTCAAAAAAGTGTTTGTTCTAAAAATTTTGCGAGGCTAATTTTTACCAAGGCGATTCTCTTGACTTCTAGGCCTGTAGAAAGTGGCTACGGTTTGAACAAGTGTTTAATTTGGCTGGAAGATATTTTATTCAGCACCCAAGGAAAACGCAGATCCTGAAAGGCTCCTTGGTGTGGATTGGTGGGTTCTTGAATGCTTTGAGCTGTCTTCAATTGCAGCGGACAATCAAGTTCCAGCTTGTGAGGTTCAGAAAACTCCGGGATTCGCGTTGGAGTTCTTGTATTGGAAGCGTCCTTTGAAAACCCTTAGTTCTCAGCACCGATTGAAAGTATCATATTGTTTTATGCTTGGGGATATTTGCAAGTAATCTGCACTTTTATTCCAAGGATGGTGAATGATGTTCGGCAGCTCACTACTTGTTTCGTCTATTTTGCGGTTCATCAGTTAGGCATGCCCCCCAGTTACACTCACACTTATGTTCTACAACAAACTGCGAATCAATTGAAGCTCTCGCTTGTCTCATTCTTCAACTAAATTCGCTGCATAAAGACCAACTCATGTGTGTGTACCATACTGGTGAACTATGCTACTCACGAGGCTACTGAAAACTGCTCGACTGCGCAATGCCAGTTTCATTCACATGATGAGCCCAATGAAAGATGAAACAGGACTTTGGGGAGTTACCTTCAAGTAGTATATCACGTCAAGTATATATAACGCAATGCCTTAAACGTCGTGTCGACTGAACACGAGGCGGCAACCTTTGTACAGTGCATTCGATGGGAGACGACAGATTCGTCTAGAATTCCTTTTCTTTTCTCAAACTCCGCTGACGGATAAATGTTGCTCGTAATGTTTGGCCTTGGGAAATTTGATGGCACAGTAACCATCTGAAGGTTGCGAAATTCAAATTTGTCTGTTTTTGTGCACCTTCGCTTCCTAATAGCGAGGAGTGTTAGTGCTCTGGCGGTAACGTAATTAGGTTGACTATCAGAAGGTGACAAGCCCTAACAAATGTCTGTTTTACCAGAATGGTGATGACTAAAAACAGATAGATACAGTGCGAAAAGTGGAATAAGCCAAAAAGTGGCTTAGCGTCTGAAGACAACTAACTGTTGAGAGTTCCTGACGCCGGACGTGTGTTCTCCGTAGTATAGCTTCTACACGTGTCCCGCGGTTACTCGTGGAGACTCGTGGAACTCGGCTGACTTCCTGTCCTGTGCGCGTGAGTGTGTGTGGTTGGGCCGAGGTGTATGCCTAGTTATTGAGTACGTATGAAGAGAGGGCTACCCTACTTGTGTTTGATACTTGCACAACTTGACCTGATGTATTGAAGTTCGTAATCCTGGCGAGTGACGCAGGTGGTAGCCTTGTAGATGGGAAGTTGTTGTGTACATATTGTCGGCTGAGGTTGCGAGTGGGACAGGAATTGTCACGTGGTTTGAGTGTTCCTAACACGTGATCTAGTGAGTGACCACTAGAGAAGCAAAGCAACGGGTGGGGGGTCCAGTGGATGTCAGATGAATTTTTTAGTGGTAGCAGAAATGAAACATTTTTGCCAGATTTCCACGTACACGTTGTCTTCAGAGCAGACAGTTTTCTAACAAGATACTTTAATACGAATTTCACAGCACTTAGTTTATCTAATGGGGAAAACTGAGTTGGTTCTTCCGGGGACTTGTGCAATGAAATGTACAAAACTACTGTTTCAGTGTGATTCCCAGTCGAATCGGAACCGTTGCTTTGCAACACACAGTTGCCTCGCTGTCAAGATTGAAACGCAATGGCAGTTTCACCTAGGAAATGTTTGGGACCGATTGAGTAGCCCTCGTTTCAGAGAGGTTTGGTAAACAATCAATCGATTTATTGCTGGACAGCGTTTCGCTTTTGACACAAGAGCTTCGTCAGGCCAAGTGGGTGAGTAACCAGGTTGATCGGGTCTTAAGGTAGTCAGGGAACCAATCTCTTAGATTTCTTGCCTTGACCAGTGCTGGGTGTCGGTCTGAAGTTTCTGTTTGCTGTGCGGGTGGCTAACATTTACAAAAGATTGTTTTCATGCTGAAACCGGATTTTACGGCCTTGCTTTTCCGGTCTCGGGCACCGGTTTTCTTACCAAATCTCTCTGAAACAGTAATTTCACACTGACTAATGCTTAGCTTCGAAAATTTCCATTTAGAATAACAACAAGGATGGATTACAAACATGTTTTTGACAGGGTCTTCTCAACTCATACATTTGCAGAGGATGAGATAGCAGTATTTGGCGCGATTCGATGAGCACGGTGTATATGAAACAGGAATGAGAGACGTTATGGGCTACCTGTCATGGAACAACCTGTTTAATTCATCAGTAGTACAGCCTGAGTTGGGCAGTACAGGCAGTGCTGTGGTTGTCTTCAGCACAGGATTATATGTGTGTGTGGGGAAGGGAGATGAGCTAGACCGTGGCGGACAAACTGTTTTTGCCGTCTAAAGGTTGGGTAGCGATGTCGTATGGTGATTGTGCCTTGCTCTGCCAATCTGGGTTGATCAGCGGGCGCCTTGTAAGCAACACGACCGAGTTGCCTTGACAAGTATCCAATGCCGTCTCCCGCGCGGATTCCGTGCTCATCGAATTGTGTTAATTACTGCCGTCTTGGCCTTTGCAACTGTATGACTTGAAAAGGTCTTGCCGAATGCATGTTTGTCAACCCACCTTTGGTCTCAGACTTTGATTCGGCACACCACTGACAGTAAGTGTCACAATCCAGTCAAAGGATCACAGGTTAACATCACTGAAGCTGTGAAATCCACAGAAATGCAGTTTATATTTTGTTCGTGGTCACACCACTCTCGTTTGAACAGTCGTCCTCCTGTTCTGGCGTAACTATTCGTCCTCCTGTCGTAACTATTCCGGTGAGTCCATTACCGAGTCCCACTGGACTCTTATTAGAGCTCATCAGCAGTGCATATCCAATGGCCGTGCCGGGATGTGAACCCCGGACATCTGACTTGCAGGGTGAGCGTGTAACCACTACTCCACCAACGCACGTCGGAACAGGCGAACGTGTTCACGGTCGAGCAATCTGATTTGTGTACCCGACTCATCGAACGACGGCCCTGGTTTTGACGATCGATTGACCCGCCAGTCAGGTAGCGCGACAAACGCTTGAAACCCACGGGGCAACTTTTTTGGCTGCAGTTTTGGGGTTTCGCGGGATAGGTAATTTTTGTCCATAGTCATGGTCGTCGTTCGATGAGTCGGGTACACCAGTGAGATTGCTCAAGTGTGAACACGTTCACCTGTTCAGACGTGAAAATTCATATGCGTCCAACGTGCGTCGGTGGAGTAGTGGTTGCATGCTCGCCTCGCATGTCAGATGTCCGGGGTTCGAATCCCGGCACGGCCATTGGATATGAGTTCTGATAAGAGCGAAGCTCGAGTCCAGTGATTCCGTTTGGTGTGGACTCACCGGAATAAGTACGCCAGAACAGGAGGACGATCGTTCAAGCGAGAGTGGTGTGAATATGGACAAAAATAGCTATCCCGCAAAACCCCAAATCTGCAAATACGGTTTGCTTTAGACCAGAAGAACGACCAGGAATCTTCGTGCGGATCTCGTAACGATGCATCAGTCAGAAATCCAAAAGTCTTTGGACTAGACGTGAATACGAGCGGCTACGCTGTTTCCGCCATTTTGAAATAAGAGCACGGCAACACCGTTCACGTAACGTCCATTTCAAACCAGAAGAAAACAACCACAGAAAGTTTTTTGTCTAATCAGTAAAAGATAGCACACACCTAAATGTCTGCTACACAACCTGAGAAATAAGCTAGACACTTTGTTGGCTGCCAAATTTCAAATTTGCCTGCCCATTACGCTGTGATCCATTAGTGCCACGTCATTACCACACTCTGTTGACGTTTCAAATCAACCAATGAGAATCATCCTACGCATACTACAATACCTGCATGCTATATCCCGTTTGTTTTTCATTTCAGCTAACACTAATATGCTTCACGTCGTTCACTATTTGCGTCGACATTGTCTAATCGGCGCGAATGGCCAAGCACTTACAAAGTTAACCATGCTTTGTTGAGCAAACCAACAGCAAGATCCATTGAAAACAATGGTGTTTACTTTCCAGACCAATGTTCATTAAGAACTGGAACAAGGCTGTCCGATTGTGTTTTACCCTCGTCACTAAGCCAATATATTTTTTCTAACGGTTGACTACTAAATACTTTATGAAACTTGTGATATCATTAGTTTTCCTCATGGCCAACCCGAGAAAAAGAAACCGCAAATTATTTTGTTTTCAAGCCATGAAAAAGCATTTTTTTGCTTAGTAGCAGCTTGTAATTTCCTTCTGAAACTTGTTGTGGTTGAGTGAATTTCATACACCTTCGAATCCTACATACAAGTCTGCAGGAGACAACGGTTAGAAAAACTGGTTTGAAGGCCGAGTTTGTAAGTGCACTGTGGGTCACTCTATCTCATTGGGATTACTAATTCCCTCAAACCCAGATTTATCGTTCATCCAATACAATAGACATTCGCCAATCAAAAGTATAAAAAATGCGCCAAATGCCAAAACGTGCTCTTTTTCATGAAGGTAAATGCGTACTGAAAGTTGCCAAATTCTCCCGTGTTCGGCACCCTGTATTTTCAAAAATGCTGAGATTAGATAGAATGATTCGAATTTTTGAAGATCCTTGCGAATTAGGGTCCAAAAAAGAGGGAGGCAGTGGGTTCTCCATAGTTGGTGTTTTTATCAACACATTTTCTAATCGGATACTGAGAGTGCCATATTCCGTAATTCAATCCTGCTGGTGTTTTGCTCTCATTGATTTAATCGTCACGGTCGTATTATCTGACCTTATTGAGAACTGTCACTACCGCATTACTACATTGCACTTGGTAGTGGAATTCAAAATAGTGCTTAAGTCAGTAAGCAATCTGGCGTTCGTCCTCGCTTTACTCAGAGTATGGCATTATATAGATAACCTCTTGTTCACTTTGTGCACGGGATGAACTACTACTCACAAAGTTATAAAGTATCGAGATTCCCGGATTCTGCAGATAGGGTGGTATCATGTCAACCCTGCGTGATGGAGGTTTATCAAGACTCTTGCTTCATCCTTCCGCTTCAGATTGATTTTTGTTGTTTAACCAATCAGTGTCAGCTTTTACATCCCAACTTCACTTGATTTCAACAGGACTTTAAAACCATTGCAGAATTGTGAAGCCTACAGAACTGAACATCTAGTTTGGAGCACCTGAATCTCTAATGGACAACTTTTCGGTAAAAAGAGCTACGTACAATCTGGTATTCGTATTCGACCGTATATCGAGTCAGGTCACATGAACGCAAATCAGTTTCTTCCACTTTTCCTAAGCTCATCAAAATAATGTAGTATGATGATAGCCTGGATAAAAAAGGTTAGTATTGTTACGTGGAAGTCAACAAACTTGAATGCCTCACCCTCCTCAATATTTTTGATTCAGAAAACTCTACCGTGTTGTGGTCTTTCATGTATTCTACGTTCCAACCTAAACAGTAAGTGTACAACGATCGATACATGTAGTTTTCACCTTTGGAACGGGAACTATACCCGTGAAAGGAGGAAGGCTTTCACTGCGGAGTTAGAAAATGTCAACTGACTACTTACAGACCATTGGACAGGGAAGCAAAACTCTCATGTGCATCTTATTTACAAAAACTGAACATCCATCTTCTCCTGAACGCGTCTTCTTGAACTTTCCTGGATATTCATCGAGCGTTGCTCAAATCCAAGCCAATGCTACAAACTGACCCCACAAATTCCGCAACAGATCTTTTCTTTTCAAGAGACGCGAAGCGAATTTCCAAAAAACAAACATATACTACCCCCTGCCTACCCATCAGTAGTATCACCGTGACTGAACATGACTCGTACAACTATCAATGCATGTAGTTTTCATCTTTGGAACGGGGTCTATACCCGTATCCTGTCCATCATCCATTGGTACCCAACTGGAACCACCAACTGTCGGTCCGATGTCGTGAGTTTCTGATCACAAACTTTTGTCAGATGTTCCATCTAGCTGATTCGGAGTTCCTTTATTTGCTTGAAACAATCACCGGACACTCCACACACACAATGATCGGTGTTTGTTAGTGTGCGCTGGAAAACCTAATGTAAACGTTCGTGTATAATAATGTATAATGTTCAGTTATGAGACCTGGTGATGAGACTTGATTCCAAAGCGCGCAGACTGACAGAATTTTCAAACGAAGTTCAAGAGGAACCATCAAATGAACCGAACCAGAAGAACTAGACCCTAGGCAGGACCCAAACACATGTAGGTTTCCCCACCGACCCAACACTTGTTCAACCACTCTAACACACTAAAAACCCTGGACCGACACCCAACAGAGATTTAGTTTGACTTAGCTGATTGGTTCTCCTTCCGCCTTAAGTCTCGATCAACCTCGGAACCTAGTCACTTGGCCTGACGAAGCTTTTGTGTCAAAAGTGAGACGTTGCCCGGCAATAAATCAACCGATTGTCACCAAACCTTTTCGAAAACGATGACTAACCAATCGGTTCCAAGTATTTTTCACGTGATTGAACAGGTTAGTTTATCATGATGGCGCTACGCAAGGTTCAAATGTGTGATGTGGATTGAATAGCCTCGAACTGGGGGGTCAACCAAACATAACCAGCATCAAACGTTGCTAGTCAGGGGGAACTGGAAACTTTATTGGAGATTTCCTCGTTAAAGTGAAGCCATTCCATATTGGGTAACCGGGAAGCACTGTGCAACTGTTTCATCCTTGATGGGGATCATCAACACCCCAAGCAAGTCAAGAGTGTATTCAACCCGCGATTCGTATCGTATGAAAATGAATCTCCTCTCTGAGACGACCTCACTCAACATGGCGTGGATTGTAATATGAGTGACGCTATACTCTGTATCGTACCGGCGCCTCGTGACCGAACGGTCACGTGTTCAGATTAATACCCAGGGAAGTCGTAGGCTCGAGGCTCTCCAGAGTTTCATGGAACGCGGTAGATTCCCAATAAGGATGAAACAGCTGTACATCGTTCCTCGACTTCTCAGATTGGCTTCATTCACCTCCAAACTTTTTATTTATTACCCAGGTAAGTCTTGTGATCGAACGTGTAACACACTCGTTACCGATTGAAACACATATGTTCCTTTGGAGTCCGTTCTGTGAGACAAGTTTTCGACAAATTTCCCTGAACGCATGCTTCACCTCAAAAAATAAATAAATAAATAAGTAAATAAACCACAAGGATTTATAAGTAGGCAAATACATTTTTATGACTTTCTTGCATAAACACTGTCGATATTATAAGTTTAACATTTTCCGAATGGTTCCCTGAGTCGGTGAAAACATGAAACGCATCTCAAATCTGTTTTGGAGGAGAAACCAATATAAGAAAAAGTATAGTCATAATGTCGGCTCTTTGGTAACGGAAAAATATAGGAATAATCACCGCATTGTGCTCCATTCCATTTCTCCGGTTATAAACAGTCCATGAAAATGGTGATTCCAGTAAATATCACGAGAAGAAGCTGTAAATACGGCAGGAAAATAACAAGTGGAGGAAGAAAATCAGGCTTTTTGACTTTTCAAGGCAATAATCCATTGATCGATGATGGTGAGATCGATTTTTTCAACCCTGACTTATCAAAGGTTATGATTACTAGTTGGTACAAGTGACTGTGAGAATAATTATCCGATTCTTGTTACATCTTTACGTTCAACAAATTGTATTTCACCCAGAAGCGCTATTTGTTCGGTTTGTTAATACACCCTTTTTGTGTTTGCCACTTCTGAATGACAGGTGACTGTGAGAATAATTATCTGATTCTTGTTGCATCTTTACGTTCAACAAATTGTATTTCAACCAAAAGCGCTCTTTGTTCGGTTTGTTAATACACCCTTTCTGTGTTTGCCACTTCTGAACGAAGTTCGGGTAGCCAATCCACACGCTACCAGGCCTATAAACGGCGATTCTTACCGAATTACTTCTTTCGATTCTTATACGTAATACGAATCGCTGGAATGGCGAGTGTACTCAGTAAGTTGTTTTTGAGTGTAATGCCGTATACTACTGCTGAAGTATGTGAGTAGTTTGTGGTAACATCGAAGATCCGTCCCGCGTCTGATGAAAGGTGAAGTTTATTGCGGGACTTGTGGAGCTGGTGGTCGTTTACAATTGTGTAATGGTCAACGAATATCCATGGGAGCTCAATAAGACTAGTGAGAATGTTCAATTTTCTTTTCAAAAACTGTGTGCCTATGAAAGGTGGCAGCTTACCAAGAAAACCATCGTTCCAATCAGAGCGAACATCGCCTTGTTCATGACCTCAACTACCTTGTCCTTTATTGGCTTATGACATCCTGTCCCGATGTTGCTATTTTTGTCAGTGAAGTCGTTCGGACAATTGGGATCGATCAGTTGGAATTTGTCGGTCATTTTGCAGCAGGGAATTGGATATTTTAGACCTGTTTGAATCAGAACAGTTTGGTAAATAAACAGTAGGATAAATCACGGATTACCGGGGAGCGTGATATTGGGTAGAAGAGAAGGTCTGTATTTAACTGTTGTCAAAACGTTGGTGTGGTTTCAAGGCATTACAATACGTGCTGTGCAGAATTTCCTGTCGGGCACTAATGTAAGCTGTGTATGTGACTCACTTTCCGACGATCTAACGTTGAAGAAAGGTAGCCGTCAATAACTCGTGCTTGTTATATTTCAGTGATCATCTCTCAGTTAAGTGGTACGCGCTTTTAATGAACAACGAAACACATGAATGTTCGCCTTTGTTTCACTTCAGCAGTTGATTACTATAGTCTAAGGGATGGAGAATAATTCAGACGGTGTGATTTGATCCTTATGTAGAGCCTGTATTACATGCGTACAGGAGGAAGGGATCCCATACCATTGGCTGTCTGTGCGTGGCTACGCTTCATCTGTTGAACACTGCATTCCTTGACCGGCAGTTGTGTTCATTCAGGTGTCATAGGACAGACAAACTGGATGTGGGAGCGGTATACAAATCCGGTTATTTGTCCTTATTCGTCCTGCTAATACGACCGAGAGTTGTTCGGATGATTTTGAACTAATTTCAAGTGAATTTCGATTAAGCGGTTCATCTTTGGCTGTCTCCACCGCGGTTAAGTTGGTCCATGTTCAATTAATCAGAAGTGTGTATCCAATGCCCGTGCTGGGATTTGAACCCCGGACATCTGACATGCGTGGTGAGCGTGTAACCACTACTCCACCAACGCACGTTGGACGCATATGAATTATCACGTCTGAACAGGCGAACGTGTTCACACTTGAGCGGTGTGATTGGTGTGTCCGATTCATCGAACGACGACCGTGACTATGAACAAAAAATACCTATCCCGCATGATTATAAACAAAAAAATACCTATCCCGCGAAACCCAGATGCGTCCAACGTGCGTTGGTGGCATAGTGGTTACAAGCATGTCAGATATCCGGTGTTCAAATCCCGGCACGGCCATTGGATATGCACAGCTGATGAGCTCTAATAAGAGCGAAACTCGAATGCAATGTTTTCCCAAGACTCATCGGAATGATTGCGCCAAGAGATGTATCAAACGAGGATGATGTGAGCGTGCATTCTATAGACCCCGCAGACACCCACAACTAAAAATCATTTTCGCCAAAATAACAACTTTCTAAAGTCCCTTCATCAGAATTCCGTTTTCGTTTGAAACTATGTCACGTGCCCATTGACAAGATGTCGATAATTAACAAATACTGTCACACCAAATATTCAGTTGTTTAGATTACTCCGAACACAAATTACCTCAAACTGCCCACTGCAGGGAATTGTTTTCTCGTGTATAGCTCAGCATCCTTTTAGTTAAAAAGGCCCTTTATGGATAACAATGGGGTTTCACTTTGGGGAGTGCAACTTCGAGTTGGTTGGTCAAGGGAACCGTTGCAGTTATGTTTTCAAACACCAGAAACGTAGTTCAAAGTGAATGAATATAAACGAATTTTGAGGGACAGTTCTAATCAGCTTTGCGAGATGAGTCCAAAATTTGATTTAAAGGTTACATGATAATCGATTCAAGAGAAATAGAACAAATACACTCCATCCTCGATGTCTTCACAGGTCCTTCTCTAAGTTGGATTCGTTTGTTAATTCTATGGTGTAAACAACGTTTTCATACCGTTCTGCAACCCAGAGAAGTTGCAGAGTAACGGCGCAATAAAATGTATTCATTGCCCGGTCCCAGTCATATCAAAAACAGAATTTGAAAACCCGTATCAGAATTTGGGATCCGTATTACACAGGACACACGGGCTTAAGAAGTCGAGTAAGCTGAACGTCGAATTGACGGATACACCGCAGAGCAATATTACTAGCGGGAGCGAGATGGCTCAAGTGGTTAGAGTGCGACTTTATTGACCGGAAGTTCCGTGGTTGGAACCCGACCTCTGCCTCGCGACTTCCCCTAGCAGTATCCCAGCCCTCGTGCTTCCTTCGGGTAGCATGACAGCTAGGCACCGGAAGGGTATTGTAGCTGACTAATCTATTCTTTTTAATAATACTACTAGCTTTGCACTAGCAAATCATGAAAGCGTCGGACGATTAAGTTCAGTCAGTGCGATAATTTGGTTATTGATGTGTAGCTCATGTTCCTTTTAAAGTACATTCTGTTTAGCCAGTGTAGGCACAAGACTAACGACGCCAAGTTTTTTCTTAACACATGGCTGATGGGACAAGGATGAGTTGACCTAGATCGCAAGTCGCAACTAGTACAAGTGATGGTTTAGTTGTCGCTGGTCGTGGAATTTGTATAATTCAAGATCACAAATCACAGATCGAACGATTCTCCTGTCTGGTGAGGTCACAATAAAGATGGAAAGCATTGGACTCGAGTTTCGTCAAACCCGGTCACTATTTTGTCGTTCAAGGCGTCGAGCAAATATCGCTGAATCGTGAAAACTGAAGCCCACACAGAAGTGATCCTTCAGGTGCTTCGAGCGTGTGCTGATGAATTAGCTACTCGCTTCGAATGTCAAACGCCTTGGAGTTCCAGTCTCTACACGGGATATGCACTACTGATGAGTTCTGTTAACAGCGAAACACTAGTCCAGTGTTTCCGCCTTTTGGTGTGGACTTTTTGAAATAACTGCACCAGAACACGTATAGGATTGTTCAGAGTGATATGCACACGGATTTTACGGATCCCACAAAGCCCTACAACTAGTCCAAAAAGTAGGTTTCATGTGTTTGTGGCGCTACCTTGTTGGGAAGTCCTGACGAATAGGTCGGTCGATAGACGTAAGCAAGGTAGTCACTGGGTCATCATTCATGTATTCGAGCAAGCCAATCATATGAGTGCTTTTTCACGTAAGTGAGTGTACATGGTGTAACGCTTTGTGTGAACCGAAGGACCTGGCCAATATCACGTGACCACTTAAAATTTGGGTAGCCCTTGGCCCGTGTTGAATTGAATTCAATGGCCATTGAGTCATTGACGACAGTTGGGCTGTCTGTAGGAAGCAGCTAAGAGGCCCCCAGTAGTCAAGAGATGCGGTTTACCATGATGTTTACGGTGCTAAATTTGAAAGTCGACTTACTTTCAGCTGTCGTTGAACTGTGCATGTACGGAAGCATCACACGGTAATACGCGACACGCATTCTCGCTGATGCAGATACCAAAGTCTACCGACCACTCATTTGAGGCCATTGAATGGTGGTTTTATGCCCAATCATCTTCCGAGTAATAAGGCGAAAATTGAAGGCCAATTATAACACGAAAATCAGTACAACCTCCATGCAGATTTGGGTGGCGCTTTCCTGTGACACCCTAGTACTGTTTCGTGACCAGATGAAGCTAATTACAATGCTAATCAGCCGCTCGTGGCCAAACTGTTAAGTGTTCAACCACTTGCTAGAAGGTCGTAGCTTCAAAACCGTCTGACGTTCATGAGATGTGCATTCTTGATGATGAAGCAGCTAACTAGTGCTTCTTGGCTTTTCAGCATAGACTGGCCTCGCTGACGGGATAAAATTTTTACTGAACCAAAAACAACAATCCCCCTCACATGTTACCCGCACTTTGTTGACTTTATTCCCCCATGTTCAGGACTCGGACAGGCTTCAATCAACTACCGTCTATACCGCTATTTTGTCGTTAGACTGAGAATAAGTAGAACTGCTTTATCAACGGGCAAGGTAGTGCACTTTAACTGAGGTAAAACATGCTTCTTCAGCTTCTCCGATTTGTGCGGCACCGCGACACACTTTCGATCGACTTTGGTGTCTATTCCCTGCTGTTTGAGTACAGGTGCTCAGGTAAGCCATTTTTTATTCACAAAAGGCACATCGTTTTATGAAGCAGTGAGGAATGCCTTTCAGTGAACATTTTGAATTCGTGACCGACGCTTGAGTACTACTCAACCACATTGGGATAACTCAGACTGAACGGCATGATTGAGCCACCAGGCCATGGGTCTTCATCCCCTGACTTCCAATTCCACCATGCTATGTGTACTATTTTCGGAAAATAGAGCAATACACCTCATATCGGTACTTTTCTGCTTACGATGACAGCCAGTTTGTAGAGTGTGCTTAATAGCGATTCCTACAGGGGTTTCCTCCCCTTGAAGTTATTATCTATTCCCCAAGGGCTGTCACCCGTGTTCTTCTGCTGGTGTATTTGGTCCTGCCTCTTAGTTTGTAATTCCTTCATTCCAATCTGTATTTCAAACTGTATGCTGGAATTCACTGTAAGAAACGACCGAAAGTGTGCTCAAGCAGTATTGTCCGGCTTTGTGTGTGTGTGCTTCTACTGCTGTTCGAACACGTGGTCTCGAGACGAAATTGGTCATCTGAATTCCACACTCGCATCCATTGTTAGTCTTCAAAAAAAACTAACCGGTGTACTCCCTCTCGCCATAGACATCCTTCTTTGCCATTTGAGAAAATTCGGTCGGGGAATCCACCCCACAACAACCGAGCTGCAGAAGGGAAAAGACAAATAAGCGTCTGAACTGGGGAGATGAAAACGAAAATACACAAAAATAGGGTGATTTCACTTTTTTTCTATGGCAAATTTTCGACATTTAAATCTATCAGGCTTCTGTCTCCATGAAATTTGAACTCAGATTTTTCCACAGTGCTAAGGAGAGGACGTTTTCAATAGAGCTTGTTTTGTATTTCTCAAGAACTCGGAAATTCTACGTCAGTCCGAAGCATTAGGGTCTAAAGACCCACAGGTTGAAGGAGTTTCCGTGTCTGAATGAAAATTCCAGGTGGACGTTTGGGATCATCGGCTTTCAGAACCACCAGATGCTATGGTTACGGCTAAAAATGTTCCCACATTCATGAGACCGTAAAAAATTGCCTCCTTCCTTTTATATTACGCCCAAATCTCCTTATAAAGCTGCTGTTCCAAGCGTGTGCAAAGGATACCCTAACGGTACCTTTCTCCTCGTCATTAGTTTATTAAGTGCGAACGACGTCGTAGCGAGATGTCGCTACTGAGTCAGATTGCGGCAAAGGAGATAAAAACGAATACCTTGGACGATTTTTGCCTTAAAGATAGATTACGGACGCTACTGTGTTTTCTAACTCATCTGTGATGACCAACTCAACTGGCAGCCCAATGTCCCATCGCTTGTGAGTTTGGAGTTTGCTATTCGACTACGCTTCGGGAGGTCGGATAAAAGCGTTGTGCACGGAAGGCAGACAAATGGTTATTGGATATTTCTTTGGAAAAAGCCATTTTTCCGGGGGATGGGACGTGCATTTTTGTTGGTTTGGCTTATTAAAACAGCTAGATAGTACCTCCTGAATTCATTACAGATACTTGCACAAACATCACACTACTATGTAGTCAAAAGTAGGTAGATGATAAAACAGTTTACCAGATAAGAAACCCCTAGGAACCATCACCTTGTTACCGTGCTCAATAGATATCAAACCGGTTAAGAAGTCAGTGGTCATTTCGATGGAAATAGATGAGGTTTGCGCCACTGTATGTGACAATAACGAGTTGGGTAGGGGAACCATTGTGGGTCGCTGGACGACAGTCGAAAGCATAGGACCAAATAACCCAATTTGGGTGGTGGGATACCTTCTTGTAAACCGGCAAGTTCTCAGTCTGGCGCCCAAGCTATGTTGAGGAATTTATTTTCCACATCACCCTTGTTTTGAACAGTCGTCCCCCTGCCCTGGCGCAATTATTCGTGTGAATCCACACCAAAGGGGAGGGGACTTGAGTTTCGCTCTTGTTAGAGCTCATCAACAATGCATATCCAACCATCACAACCAGGATAGTTACTGGGTCGTCGTATCGATGATGTGTTCGGCACACTAATCACATCGCTCAAGTGCGATCACGTTCACCCGTTCAGACGTGAGAATTCAGATGCGTCCAACATGCGCTAGTGGAGCAGTTGTAACACGTTCGCCTCGCATGTCAGGTGTCCGGAGTTCGAACCCGGACATGGCCATTGGATATGCACTACCGATGAGCTCCAACAAGAGAGAAACTCATGTCCAGTGCTTCCTCCCTTTGGTGTGGATTCACATGCATAGTTGCGCCAGGACAGGAGGACAGCTGTTCAAAACGAGAGTGGTGTGGAACTGAACAATACGCCTTCCGCAAAACCCCCACATGCATTAAGGAGTTTCATTTAAAGGACCTATGGTACCACCTTGCAATATGGTAGCTGGTAACTGACGTTTAATAGCTCGAAATTTCTAGTAACTTGACGTTGTCCTGGAAAAATGCTTAAGTAGCCCGATTGACAAACTTCGATCTGTATAGTAAAGCGGGACTTGAGTAGCTCTCATTCTGTCGAATGCATACGGAATGTCATGCTGGTTTGTAGTAAACAATGAGAAATGACTTACATAAGGTTGCAGAAAACCAATTACGAGGCTGTGGACGTCATTCGCCTCGATCGATGTGTAATTTGCCACGCTCATGCTGAATAGTTTCACCGCATATTCGCCAAACTGCAAAAGAAAGCGATTTTAGGGAAGAATGAGCCAAATAAGTTACAAGGTTCACACGAAAATCCTCACACACTTTTTGGCTAATATGTGCATGTCAATGAGTGCACGCTCTCTCATGCACCCCGAATAGAGAAAAAAGAGGTTGATATAATTCGAACTTTCTAAAGCCTACCTACGAAAGCTTGGGATCAGATTCGATCTGGGGATCTTGCAGTCACGGGTTTCTGCAAGATACAGGCGAACACACAGCTAGCGATCAGAAGTTCGCCTAAAATAGCAAGTTCATGTGTATCAGACGGTAAAAGCACATGATAACCCTCGTAGATATAGGAAATATATGTGAAAAGCCAGTAGGTTTTCGGCCTAGAATTGCCTGACGATTAGTGGAAAACACTTATGTTTGATCACATATTTATGGGAGATCAGGAAGTTTTGACAGGTGTGCCTGTCACTACTGCTTTGTCTGCGCCCTCTAAGTCAAGACGCCGTACTGTTTCGGGAAGGTGGTTCGACGACATGGCCTGGAAAACCGATTTGTACAGGCTCTGGTATAAAGTGTGTGCACCGCTCTGGACATGGCAACATGACATGGGATCATTTCAAATTAGTCCTAGGCGATATTTTTTAAACTTGTGAATTATACTCGTCTCGTCTGAACGGTTTTCCTCCTGTTCGGGTAAGACTTTCCTTTTTTTCGCACCAAAATGGAAAATTGCTGCACTCCTATTTAGAGTCGTCAATGATGCGGGTCAAATAGATAGCTCGGGTGAGTTTACTGGTAGTTGATCAGATGGCACTTGATCTGTTTGCCGAGCTTGGCAATTGGCTCGCAAACGTTTGGTCTTCAGTCGAGGAGACATCGTCAGTGCTCAGTTGAGTGGGTGCTTCCTCCGTGCCTACTTGTAGCTTTTGAAGGTACATAATATCCTGTCGCAGCTAGGCACGGAGGAAGTACCCACTCAACTGAGCACTGACGATGTCTCCTAGACTAGGGACGAAACGTTTGCAAGCCAATTGCCAAGCTTGGCCAGCAGATCAGCTGCCATCTGATCAACCACTAGCAATGATGCGGGTCTTTACTGAGGCTCGAACTCAGGATGTCCAACATGCTGGGAGAAGATTTTACTGATTCACGCTGATTGCAGGTGAACTGTCATACCTAAGCAGGCTAACGTTTTCACGCCCGAATGAAGTAGTTAGGCTTTCCAATGATTTGACTAACGACGGTGCTGGTGGCTGAAGGTCGAACCTATGGTACGCGAGTAGGGCGTTTTACCGGAGCTCTGCAAGCACAAGTGTGGTGAATAACTTCAAGCTAATAAACTCTATGTGATGATCTCCGCCCATCTTTCAAGTGATTCCCTCGGCTCTGTCGATAGTTAACTCACAAGCAACCAGTGCGGTAATCGATGATACGTGTGAACTGAGCATTGTACAGGGTGACAAAAGGATAGTGCGCGGATATCAGTGAGTACTTCCACAATCGAGGAAAGCATACTGCTCTCGTCACCCCAACCTTCTTGTCCGGCATCGCTTTATCATACCCCACAGTCACCGGGGGCCTCTAAGTCACTGGATCAAACTGTGCTCTGCAGTATTGGCATTATGGGTTTACACGTATTTATGTGATAGCCGACCGTTATGTAACCCGTAGAAAATACAAGAAACTCACTTTTTAAAGTATACAGGTCCTCCTAGGACCTAGCAAGTCCTCAAATAAAGCACAAAGTTCGCTCGACTTTTACTTCTAACGGTTTGCTATTTGAGTTTATGTCCAGCTGCTCTCCAGCGAGCCCAAAAGTACAGAAATATGGTAGCCGCATGGTTTTTCCTTACACTCAGTGACTTCTTCCTTCTTTCTAGCAGTGAACACAAAAATTAGCTGTCACGTGTTTTTTTCACTTTTTTGTGACTTTTAATCGATTTACATACCATGGGCTGGTGACCAGATGCTTATTGGGACACGCGGTAAGTAGTACGAGAGAGTTGGGACGGGTTTAGTCGCCTGAAATGGTGAGGTACATCTGAGGACACAGTCAGTCATGCTCAGGCAAGTACTAATCATGTGGTTTGTGCACCGAGAAATTTTGTTACGCTCTAATGAGACTTCTAGTTGAAATTAGGCTCAACGGCGAAATGTGTAGGGTTACATAAGAGCTGTATGTTGGTTGATGTTAGTTCCAGAACGTGGATTGCTTGTGACCGGGAATTTCAGATGCCGCTAACTAAGGATTGTGACGTGGGTCTAAAAGTCGCACTTTTCTAACAATATTGATCAACTCTGAAATCAATGGGTTTACCAGGGTATTCATGAGAGATCAAGATTGCTTCCATATCGTACTATTCAAAGTTCTACTGCCCGGGCATCGCCATTCTGTTTAGTTGAGAGTACTAATCAGAGTACTGGCCCGAGTTGCATCCTTATTCGAGCTCGTGGACTAGCCAGTGAAATTTGAACTTCCGGTATCCAAGCCGAGTAGTGCTGTTCGACCGTACGTTGGACACATCTGAGCGGGCAAACCGGCTCTCACAGCTGGGTGGTGTGAACTGAGACTGTTGGCTCGAAGGATAACTCCGTAACTCTCCAAGTTCAACTGACCGGTTGACCCGCTTTTACAGTACGACATAGTCAGGTGGTGCCACAGACGACAGTGACCCTTAATGGGTAATTTTTCCCACGTGTTTTGGTCACCTGGAGAACTTTTGTAGATTATATTTACATCAGTCCCTTTTGAAGTCGAGTTGAAATAGGTTTCACATGCGAACTAGTGTGTTGTCAGCTGTTCCGCTGAGTAGTAAGGTTGACTGGCATCATGTGTAAGCTTATGATGTTATTCAACGTCCTCGAGATCAAAACTGGCAGTCCCTCTACTGGCTACATTCTGATGTGCACACTTTTTTTTATAGTAAATGATCATATTGTGGTACATCAAGAGCTGTTCAAAACAGCAAAGCTGATTCATTTGAATTCAAAATTCTGCTTTGTGATAAAGACTGGGTGACAAAGTGAAAATGGATGAACACCATGTTTTTTCCTGTCGAACTGTCGAGGATGATTGAGCATGGGGGATGGCGGGTTGGCTCCTATTCGTGTATCCAAACAAGCGCAGTTCCACAGGTGGTGGGGATTTTGTTGTAATTCATCTAAAACCCGGTTAGTCATATTGCGAGTATTAATCGTGGTGTGACCTTCGATGTCGCTAGGTCAGTGAATAGGGCCACTTGGCGGTGTTGCGGAATATAGTTACTACTTGGTTGTTGGTCTGTTCCACGAGCATGGCAGTTGGATTGCAAACGTTTCATCACCAGTCGAGGAGTTGAATGAGTTACTCATCCAACAACCAACAAGGTAATTTCCCTAGTGTTTGGGAACCGGGTCGGTAGTATCTGATTGTCGGCTACCTTCACTGTGAACTAACTAATCTGTTGGGTCCATTTTAAGCAAGCGCACCTAAGTACACAGTGGAACAGAGTGACTGGCTTGAGTTAGCAGTCACGCGTAATGCGTGCATGTGACTTCTACGCATGACTGCATATCATACATGAAATTAAGAATGCTTTCACATACAGTTGCAACCTTTAGCCAACAGATGCATGCGTACAGGTTCTTCCGCACCGGATGGATTAGATCACAGCTAGGTGGCTCAGCGGAGGTTTGTGAAAATTCTCCACAGGGTGCTCGTTTGAAGGGAGCACAAATCAAACGTGACCAGTTCGTTACACAAAATGAGAATGATAACTCTGAATTCCTAGGACAAAGGCCCAATGAGATTTCTCTCCCGTGAGACTAACCACAATGAGAACTAATCAGCCGTTCGTACCGCACATTCAATGTTCAACCAATCACCAAAAGGTCACGGGTCTAGAACTCTGCAAGTTCCGTGAGATTCGAACGGCCGATGATTCACAAAAGAAATGAAACGGCTGTGCGATGTTTCTCAGCTTTCCAGCCTAGATTGGTCTCACTGACAGGACGAAAACTCAATTTGAAATGAAAAAATCTCCTCACACTATTACTAATCACTGATTGTTGATTTTGTGTCGAGCTAAATCCGATTTGGTATTGTCTTAAAATATCGTGCACAAGACACCTCTCTCTCTCTCTCGAGTGGCCATTTGCGAGTTGCTTCCAAAGTGACCGTTTCTGAAGGGTCTTCTCCGTATTTGCTGTTCTTCCAGTTTGCTCAAAGATTTGTCCTCATTTTTAGAGATACTCTGGCTAATTCGTTACGGTTTTTTCCTTTTATTTGCGTTTTAATTACATAACATGCTGGTTCATCCATGCTACATAGATGTGAAACAATAGTCACAGGGTTGTTGAAAACTCTTCGACAGCAAACGACCGGTTTCGCCCTTGTTGGAGGCTCATCAGGTAGGCGAAGTCTCCGAGTTTCCGTCAACCTGACGTTCTACTTGAACCCAAATTGGACGTGGGCTGTCAAAGAGTTTTCAGCAACGTTGTGACTAGTTTCTTTTATGAAAATATACTGCGATATCTCGAATATCGTACCAACTGAAACACAAAGCAGCCGTGGTGAACCATATTCTGTTGAAGAATATCATAAACGAGAGATTCATTTGATTCTGCAGTAAAAACCAAATTGACTTTCAAGTGAATGGAATTGTCGAAATCAGCCTACTGATTTCAAGCATGCCTAAAAGACGTTTGAACGGAAAAAGTAGCCTGACGGCTTCGTGACTTACCACATCCTGCTTTACGAAGTATAGGATGATCATGACCAACATTGCAACAGCGATTACCGTTATGATGGCAGCATACTGGGGAAAAATGAAGATACATATGCTGCTTAGTCTGAAAAGAAACACCTGCATACAAACAGAATAAGCAAACGCCCATCATCATGCCTGAGTTTGGATACGCGGAAATCGCACAACGCTTCATGTGAGATGGATGTAAGTTCAGATGCTGGCCAAAATTTTCGAATATTTATCGTGCATATTCGCGGTTCAATGGCCGGAGAAGGCCTCATCTTTTACGTTTGCACCGTTTAGGAACTTCGTTGGTTTGAAATCTCTTCTACTGTGTTTCGATGCAAACGTTCTTGATGTACTAACATCCTTGAATAAGTGCTGGAAAAGCCAAGAACCTCCAGTTATTTTGGGAAAACCAGTCGTCCGCCATCTCAGATGATTGCATAGTCAGGCACCTGAGGTCAAACCTAAATTTGTGTACTCAAAGTTGTTTCTTAGTCGGATAGACCTTTCACATTGTAATGTCATTTGGTTTTCCTTAGTCATTGATCTCTCACGAAGTATGGGTTCTGTGGTAATGTGGCAAGATTGCGGCCTCTAGATTCGTTTTCCGTCACTATCCTGAACGGTTTGTTGAACCCATACGGTTGCGTGGTTAAATGTAGAAACTAAGCCTCAGGTGTTAACCGTGATACTAACGATTTTTTAATGTCCTACAGCTGCAGCATTTTTTCGGTGCATGATTGCCATGCCCCCCCCCCCGGAAACAAGTAAGAGCCGAGACTGGAACAGTCCAGATGCAGAGTTGAGGCTAAACCACGGATTTTCCGGTCAGTGAGTTTTCATCTCGCTACAATGTTGATCATACCTATGAGTTATTTTCTTATAAAAATAGTACACACCTCGTGGCTTTGAAAGGACAGTTCAAATACTGACCCAAAGACCCTCTTACAAATACGTCCCACACATTTGCAGCATACGTGTAGTTCCTCAATTTAAAGGGTTTTCTTGATAATCACCCTTCTGAAATAGTCGATTCATTCAAAGGAAATCGCACTTAAACTTGTATGCTTAATACTTAATAAAACTCCAGCAGTCGTCATTTATGTTTGCTGCCTTTTTAAGGGTGAGAAATATTGCTACCAAATTTGGCGACCACTTGTTCTAGCAAATCGAATCATTTACCCAGTCTTATTTCCAACAACAGGCTATTGGAAGTCCGGTGACGAAAAATCGATGATATCTGAACACACAAACTGTTCATAATAGGCATATAAAGGACATCATTCCTTACTGGAGAAGTAACCTGTCAGGAAGATCTGATTCCTGAAAATAACTGCAGAACCTAAGACTCTACCAAAATCTCAATCGATTCTCGATCGATTCAGCAAGAGCCGATGGATGTTCAGGCATACTACAGAAGCNTAAAAATAGTACACACCTCGTGGCTTTGAAAGGACAGTTCAGATACTGACCCAAAGACCCTCTTACAAATACGTCCCACACATTTGCAGCATACGTGTAGTTCCTCAATTTAAAGGGTTTTCTTGATAATCACCCTTCTGAAATAGTCGATTCATTCAAAGGAAATCGCACTTAAACTTGTATGCTTAATACTTAATAAAACTCCAGCAGTCGTCATTTATGTTTGCTGCCTTTTTAAGGGTGAGAAATATTGCTACCAAATTTGGCGACCACTTGTTCTAGCAAATCGAATCATTTACCCAGTCTTATTTCCAACAACAGGCTATTGGAAGTCCGGTGACGAAAAATCGATGATATCTGAACACACAAACTGTTCATAATAAGCATATAAAGGACATCATTCCTTACTGGAGAAGTAACCTGTCAGGAAGATCTGATTCCTGAAAATAACTGCAGAACCTAAGACTGCACCAAAATCTCAATCGATTCTCGATCGATTCAGCAAGAGCCGATGGATGTTCAGGCATACTACAGAAGCACGAACGACTATGATCAATGTTCAGGTATTTCATAGGAGCACGGTCGATGATGATGGGTGTTCATCAAACGCCGATCGGACAGCCTGGATCAATGTCAGAAGGTGGCCTTCAAAATTCAACGTTGTTGTCACTTTTGCACTCGCTTGCACTCACTGCTGCAACAGAGCTGTTTTTTGCCGGTGTGCCTTTTTCTGGCGCTAGGCACTGGAGTGGGAACGGTAGTCAGATAAAAGATACACTTATTTGGAAACCAGCTGGGTGGGCGTAGTTTCTCGGGAACTCGAGGACGAGCACCAAGAAAGACTAGACATGACTGAAGAGTTGTAATATCGTCCAAATCATTTGGGTGACCAATGATTAGATACTCGGCGTTAGAATCGTCCTTATCAGTACTCTTCAATATGTTGAATATCGTTCGAATTAAGACAGCCTTCCTGCAGCACATTTAGATTAAAAAGTTTTATGGACGATAGATTCAGGTTAATGTTAACTGATTCTCCCCCAACAACAAGCTGATTGGCCAATGAATAGTTACAGCAACCAAACTATCAGGAAGGTCAAATTCCTGAAAGCAACCTCAGAAGGCGTGGAACCTACTGCTCCACCAAAAACTCAAAACTCAGCAGAAATGCCGGCAAGCATCCAGGCCAATCAATTATTCAATCAATTCAGCAACACCTGATGAGTGTTCTTGCACGCCACATAAGCACGACCGAATGTGATCAGCGTTCAGGCATTTCATAGGGGCACGATCGATGTTGATGTGTGTTCATTAAAGCCTATCAGGCAGCCTGTATCAGTGTCAGAAAGTCCCCTTTAGATAGCGTTGGGGCCGTTTAACTATTGCTCTCGCACTCGGACGCACTCACTCGACTGTTCCTTCTGTGAGTCTTTTTTCTCCGGCAATAGGCACTTGAGCGGGTCAGCAGCAGATACCATAGATTGAGGAATCAGCAGACATAACACGAACATATGACTGTCTCCGCTCTAATGAATTGCATTCATACAGGACAACAAAAATCGTTGATAAAAAAGCGTATATGGTGCTCTTAGTAGTTGGCAGGTACACCTATCTTATAACAATCTACCCGTGCCGAATGCGGCCTCTTCATCGATGAACTGACAACCGTAGAGTTCACTGATGAAAAACAGCCAAATACGGAACTCACCACTTTGAGAATTATCAGCAAATTGCAGCAAGCTCCGATGATACCAAGAACAGAGAGGATTGCGACAGCCGCCCCAAAACACAAAAGTACTATTCCAATGGGAGCTACCGGGTAGGTGAACAATCAAACAGCAGTAATGGCAATCAGTTGAGATTAATTCATTTTAAATGTGATCAGGAACCGTAGGTCGCAAAATTGTCAACTTGAAATAAGCCATTAACCGGGCGGCAGAAATCAAACTTCGGAAAAAACCTACCGGGCAATTTATAAAATAAACGTGTATTTAGTGCCTTCTTAGTCAAGTATCGTCAGACTCTGTCAGAGTTCGCAAAAACGAATGTGTGCACTACATTCCTGCCTAGGTCACTCCCATACCTATAAAACAGAACGAATGCAAAGAAGTGATTGAAAAATTTTGTTTACACCTTAACTGAAATGACGCAAGCAATTCCGGCAAAACAGATACCTCTACTGCGAATGTACGGCAGCGAAGCATCAGTGTTGAACACTGATATCATGCTGCCGATGATGATGATGATGATGATGATGACGATGATGATGATGATGAATTTCCTATTATTTTATCTTACTTTCTCGGATACAGACCCGTGAAAAAGAACATTAACAGCTTATAAGCTTCGTCGTTTAGAGACTGTCGTATTTCAAACAGTTATGAGATAAACGCTCGTTTACAACAAAGATGGCGGAACTAAGCCGCATACAAAGTGTTTAAGAGGGATTAGGATTAGACCAACTGGTAAAACACCCCATAAGTACCGTGAAGCAGAACCTTGAATGTGTTGTTCTTTGCAAAGTTTTATTGTTTAACCGCTTATTCTCCTGAACCAATTGCTAAAATATCTCTTCTTTAGTGTGAAATTGTTGTAAGTCCAAGACATTTTCAACTTGGCGACTCACAATCCTCGAAATGCTCGGAGTGAGGAATATGCGCCTCACGAGCAGAGTGGACCAAGCCGATAGCAGAGCGCAATACTACATCTTCTTATTAATTATCCAAGAAAGTGGATTGTCGTGCAAATTAGTTGGACATATTCGGCTGATTACACACCAATTCTCCTATGGAAATCGCATTTGAATACCTAGGTGGCCTGAGATCGCGGTCAAACTGATTGCCCCGACGTGCTCGTGTGCTCGATCCCTAAAGCTGAGCGATAGTTCCTGCCTTCACGTCACTAGTCCCGATTGCTAAATGGACGACCATCTCAAACCCAGTCTAATTTAGTCTCGTACGACATTTCACCTCAATCAGCTACCTCGGTTGGATTAAAAAAAACATTGTCTTATCTGCATGCAACTGATATGAGGGAACAGGATGATGAACTCATCTGATGGCAAANACGGAACTCACCACTTTGAGAATTATCAGCAAATTGCAGCAGGCTCCGATGATACCAAGAACAGAGAGGATTGCGACAGCCGCCCCAAAACACAAAAGTACTATGCCAATGGGAGCTACCGGGTAGGTGAACAATCAAACAGCAGTAATGGCAATCAGCTGAGATTAATTCATTTTAAATGTGATCAGGAACCGTAGGTCGCAAAATTGTCAACTTGAAATAAGCCATTAACCGGGCGGCAGAAATCAAACTTCAGAAAAAACCTACCTGGGAATTTATAAAATAAACGCGTATTTAGTGCCTTCTTAGTCAAGTATCGGCAGACTCTGTCAGAGTTCGCAAAAACGAATGTGTGCACTACATTCCTGCCTAGGTCACTCCCATACCTATAAAACAGAACGAATGCAAAGAAGTGATTGAAAAATTTTGTTTACACCTTAACTGAAATGACGCAAGCAATTCCGGCAAAACAGATACCTCTACTGCGAATGTACGGCAGCGAAGCATCAGTGTTGAACACTGATATCATGCTGCCGATGATGATGATGATGATGTTGATGATGATGACGATGATGTTGATGATGATGATGATGATGATGATGGTGATGATGATGATGATGACGATGATGATGATGAATTTCCTATTATTTTATCTTACTTTCTCGGATACAGACCCGTGAAAAAGAACATTAACAGCTTATAAGCTTCGTCGTTTAGAGGCTGTCGTATTTCAAACAGTTATGAGATAAACGCTCGTTTACAACAAAGATGACGGAACTAAGCCGCATACAAAGTGTTTAAGAGGGATTAGGATTAGACCAACTGGTAAAACACCCCATAAGTACCGTGAAGCAGAACCTTGAATGTGTTGTTCTTTGCAAAGTTTTGTTGTTTAACCGCTTATTCTCCTGAACCAATTGCTAAAATATCTCTTCTTTAGTGTGAAATTGTTGTAAGTCCAAGACATTTTCAACTTGGCGACTCACAATCCTCGAAATGCTCGGAGTGAGGAATATGCGCCTCACGAGCAGAGTGGACCAAGCCGATAGCAGAGCGCAATACTACATCTTCTTATTAATTATCCAAGAAAGTGGATTGTCGTGCAAATTAGTTGGAAATATTCGGCTGATTACACACCAATTCTCCTATGGAAATCGCATTTGAATACCTAGGTGGCCTGAGATCGCGGTCAAACTGATTGACCCGACGTGCTCGTGTGCTCGATCCCTAAAGCTGAGCGGTGGTTTCTGCTTTCACGTCACTAGTCCCGATTGCTAAATGGACGATCATCTCAAACCCAGTCTAATTTAGTCTCGTACGACATTTCGCCTCAATCAGCTAGCTCGGTTGGATTAAAAAACCATTGTCTTATCTGCATGCAACTGATATGAGGGAACAGGATGATGAACTCATCTGATTGCAAAAGTCCGCTTCATTTCGCTTGACAGAGTTCGTTTCTTCAACGATTTCACTGATGGTAAACTCCCAGAGGATGTTTCCCGAACATGTCAGAGTTCCAATCATGTGCCGCCTCTTCCAGCAACGTTTCTGAGCACTTTTCTATTCGTTCACGTACCCTCCAAAAAAAGACATTTTACGCACATGTTGACTTAATTTTGTAAATAGCCGTTCTCGGGGATAGAAAGTTGGTCGATCCTATGAACCTATTCTAATTTAAAGCGTCTGACACTTGGGGATAATACGGTGTGGCGCTACAGTGCCGTAAAATCTCCGCTAAAAATCCACACACTCAACTGACCCTCATTTTAAATCCCAACATCGTCGTCAATATCTTCCGAAGTAGCATCAACTCTCTTGTCATTCACATTTTGTGCAGGATTTTGTCATAAGGCACCTCTTCCGAAATTGACACTTGGAATTAAGACTAAATCACCCAAGCCCTGATTGCTGCTGGTGTACGCTACTGATGTTATACGTGAGTAGTATCTGGTCAAAGCGCCGTCCCTGCATCTGATGAGATGGTGGCGTAGAAATTATCAAATCACTGTACAGGGTTTATTCATTGTTGTTGAATACTCAAACAGCATTCGGAAAAATTCATGAGGACACCTTGGGATGTTGGATCTTCAAAAATTCTTCCAAGTGCTTAGTTCGTGTTTGTCAATGGACAACTCCGTGTTCGACGGCTTTCGTCCTTGCACCGGTGCCCGGACTACTGCGACCGAACAAACCAATCCATGGAAGCTCTGTACACTCTGTGGATCAATATGTGAATCGATGTGTGGTCAAAACAAAGCGAATGGTGAAGTGATCAATTACAAGCAAATTGAACTCCATCTTTTTGTATTCCCAAGATCGATAGGACAGATAGACAGGATGTCATCAATCTTATCACTGCTTTACATGATCCATTTTAAATTGCCTTGAATTCTTTGCTATTTTTGATCAAATCTGTGTTCGAGATATGGGTCGATCAAATCAGTAAGTGACCACTGTCGATAAGGTGTGTTGTGATAAGGTGTGTTGAAGGTCCTATTCGGTTGGGAAACTCTGACAGCCACTGTGCAACCGTCTTAGATTCCACCGCAAATACGTTTCTCTGAGATCCTGTTGGAAGCCGATATTGCTACCGAAATCAAACAGACCGGACCATTCCTCATTTATGCTGAATGCAGATTTTCCCACATGTGGGTCGCCACCCCTTCAAATTTGGTAAGGTCGCTTCCGCAAACTTCGCTGTATTTGCTAGCTGGTTAGATGCAAGCCCCCATTGTGTCCTTCTGATTGTCCTCGGCGTTCACTGAGCCTCTTATTACTAACGAAGAAGAAAGGTATCAACTACGGATTACTACCTTTTGTTCATATTCATTTGTCACCTATTCCAACGTCCTTGAAAGCCAGAATTTTCTAATGCTCGAAATCCAATGATGGAACATCACGTGCCATTCTTCGTTTGCTGTCGATCAGTGCGACCAGAGAGCGTATTTCGATGGCACTAATCGATAGAGCACAACAGACCTTCGGGGCCAAACATTGAGTGCGCATGCAAATACCGAAACAATAAACAGTCCTGGTGTGTAGTAAAGACAAAGTCCTTTGGTAAACTGTTGACGCCCTAATCACGCCAGGGTGCAGTATATTTGATCAGTTCTGGTTACCTCCCGCGGTCGAATGGCGTTATGTTACGGCAGAAGCTCTGATTGCTGAATGCTGGATCATGGTGTTCTTCCCGCCAAATAAAAGATTTCTTTTTTCCACAGCTACCCTTTGTTAGTGTAACGTGAATTTTTTGGTTTTGGCGATAGTACTCCACCGGAATCAACAGCCTTTTACGGCCCTTGATATTTCACAGTATTTTGGTAAGCTATTACGCTCCGGTTCATCTTTTGGGACTTAGAATCTTCGCAAATGAAAAAAGCAAATGTCCCTTGAGCAGCAGAAAGTCTCGCTGGAGTTTTTGTCAACAGTAGGTAAGTCAGATGGAAAGATTTTGCCGGACTTTGAACACCTGCCGGATCAGTGAGCAGTGCTCTCAAACGGGACACCATTAATTTTCAACGGACCAACCAATACCCTGCTCAATTTGGACCGCATCTTTGCTTGCAATCCATAAGCTACATAGCTGAATGAAGCCTTTGCGCTGTTGTCTGTGAGAAAGAGTCTCTTCCTTAAGAACGTCGAATGGGATATCAGGCAAGTGGACTGTCAGAAGAGTGGAACTTCCAGTAGTTATCTCCGGCCTGCACCTACGAATGACTATACCAGTACAGAGAACTATGCTTCGCTAACAAAATTTAGATAAAAGATGTGAAAAGTAACTGTTGTTCGGTGCTCCCCTTAAGATAGGCTTCTTTTATTTCCCACAACCCCGCTCACTAAGATATCAAGAGCTCAAAGCTCTACCTTAACCTTAGTCGCCCCATTACAAATTAGCTTTGTTGTCGATTATTTGGGAAAAAAGAACTGGAAGAAAAGTATGCTGATAAAAAGGAGGGCTGTCGCGAAGCTTCAACTGGAGATGGGACCGAAAGTTATCCAGCTGACGGGGTTCGAGCGCAATGTACAGGTTTGCGACAATGGCTGCGGTAAGTCACGAAGGATCTGTGTGGCGACAGAGTAAAATCATGTAATGCAAGCTTGATGATAACATGACATATCGTGGATAATCAGACCGATTATTAACTCCACTAGTGAGTGCGCGACATCTAAAGAACATACCATATAGCATATATCGCTTGTCATATATCCTATACATCTAATATCCTGTATATTGTATTTCACATAAATGAAGCCAAGATCTTCCTTCGTTCCAGAGTTCCTCCTACTGTTCTCACAGTGACATTCTTCACTCTTTGTAATGGCTATTTTACACTCAAGACAATAGTTCATGGTCGGGCCACTTTTGTTTTGAGGACATGATAACAAAATTTGTTTTAATCGCTGGTCGCTTCCTTTCCATGCATTCAGATCTGTAATCGAGTAACCGGATTATCAGTTCTGAAGCAACTTGAAGCCAGTTATCCTTGTATAGACGTAATACACTACTGATAAGGTTGCTGAAAATTCTTCGAAATGCCACGACTGGTTTCACCCTTCTTTGGGCCTATCAGGTAAACGCAGTCCCAAGTTTCCGTCAAGCTTATGTTCTACTTGAACCCCAGTTGCACGAAATTAACAAAATATACTCATTTCCAGGCAATTTTGGTTTTGTCGAAGAGTTTTCAGCAACCTCATGAGTAGGGTATTACGTCTATATCGCGATTATCGTACCAACTGCGACCATGTATCATGCGACTTGGTGCAGCATATTCACTTGCTTGGAAACATCATAAGCGAGAGATTCAGCTGGGTTTCAGGCGAGTGTCTCTCGAAACCAAATTTATTAGCTAGTCTCGCGTTTCAGCACTGACTGCTAACGACAAGGTTTGTGCGCTTCAAATCCGTACGCCTCTGGTAGGCTTATCAGATTACAAGCTACATGCGGATACCAAAGGTTGGTGGCCGATCGAATTCCAATCGATGAACAGCTTGTTCCATCTCTTTTTGATTAATTTTAGATGAGTGCGGGATATGGGGAATTTAGGCTCACATCGCTCCAGTTTAACCAGTCCTTTCTTATCCTGACGCAGTCATTCCGGTGAGTCCACATCAAACGAGGGAAGCACTAGATTCGAATTTTGCTTCTATTAGAGCTCATTAGCAGTGCGTATCCTTGGCAGTGCCGGGGTTTGAAATTCAAAGAGCATAGTATGAGTAGCGCACTCTAGACGCATCTGAGTTTTCACGTCTCAGCAGACGAACTTGCTCACGCTTGAGTGAGGTGAGTGGCTTGCCTGGTGCCTAAAATAGCAACCAAGTAGCTGTTCTGGCCCATCTCTCAGAACTAACCAGTTAGTACGGAACCAAGGCGATTAAAGCCTGCAGAATAAGTTTTTTTATCAGTTCTAGAACGGGCCACAAAAATTTTTTACTCAAGTGTGGATGTAGTACACCCAATTTAGAGGCGGCCATCTGAGAGTTGTTTTTTCTTACTTGATGCGCCCATCAACTCGGAACTATCTGGTTGTCAACTGAAACGCTACACAATGGACTACAGAGTCACGAAACGGGCTGTTACGTTCACAACATGTTAAAGTCAGAAATATTATAAATGATGTGATAAAGTCGTGAAACCACTTACAAGTAGATGTTGTAATCCGAGTGATTAATTCCGTCACCTGGGCTGCATCATCGGCCACGCGAATCGCCCGCAAAAATGGTTCCAAAAATCTGTCCAGCACTTTTATAAATATGTCACGACCCCATATTAACAATGCTCCACCGGTCAATATGATTAGGCCCACAATCTGTGCAAATGGAAGTAGAGCATTTCTCGAGTAGCTATTTCTCCGTGACACATGTCATCAAGATAAATTTCCAATTATAAATGCATCTAGTATTGTTGGTCGAGATTGTTCACAAAGTATTGAACCGAAACAAAAGGAAGACAGATAAGGCAACTTCTGATCCGGTACCAACTTTATCGACCACTTGAATGAGAGAGAAACTTGAGATAGCTCATTTGTTGAGGCGCGAACTAACTGAGAGAGAAGTCCGCGGTTTTAATCGAACCCCTGCGAACCGATTGTTTCTGTCTTGGCCCTTGAAGGATCTCAGCCCTAAAGCTTCCTTCAGGTGGAACGGCAACTACCCACCGAACGTGTTACAGCTGAACAATCGATTTTAGCGTTATCTGAGTGAACCCCACGGATCCTACAAGCCATCAAAAATAGTGTGTTCTCTTCACCTATGCCACTTACCGTGCATACTGTTGCAAGCACCAGATCCCCGCAGCCTAATAATCTATCGTTCATTCTGTCTTGATAGCAGTATTAGTTAAGTCAGGCATTACAGAGTTTGCTCATATGATATCTCTAACGGGACAAAATTTTGCACACAGAACTACGTGTAACATTGCTCTAAATTTGCACTAAATCGCGGAGACCTTACTCACAGTTTAAGGATTCCTAAAAGATGGAACTGGAGGTATTTTGTCCGCGATGGGGAATCACATTTGGAAGTTTGCACCGTACACCTTGCCCCCGTTTCAGTCGCTGCTTCTATTGCCTTACTATTTATGTTGAACTTTTCGCCGGCCCTTCGCTCCCAAAATATTTTTCCTCACCCGACTCGCGCGAAGAAGAACCAGGAATTCAACAAATGCACTCATTTGCATATCATTTTGGTTTTCACGAGAGGCTCAACTGAACCTCTCGTTTGTGATGTTGACCAGAACTCAGGGACCGCGCCTATCAGATGAGCCCCAATATGTGCGAAACAGGGTCATGAGTCACCAAAGAGTTTTCAGCAACCTTGTGAATAGCTTTCTATTTAAAAAGGGGACCATGCGACATTGGGAACATGCAATTGCTTGCACGAGGGCAAGCAAGGTTACCATTTGAAAATTAGTGGCACACAATTATGTGTTGGACGCTTTTCTTGCTTCACTAGTTTATCGATCGACCAACAGATTTTGAATGGCTTGCCAATTTACACTAAAATATATGGCTATCCCTATTGGTGGTTGCCATTGCCGACCGAAACGCGTGAGGTAGAGTCTCAGACTACAGTTAGTGACCAATATTTCGACATAGTCCACTGATCAGATACTAGTGGGACGGTGATACTACTGATGGGGAGGAATGCGAGTAGTATGTTTTCTTCTTGTAAATTCGCTTTGAGTCTCTTGAAAAGGGAGATCTGTTGGGAAATTTGTGGAGTCGCTTTGTAGCATTTGCTTGGATTTCAGCGATGAAGATGGACGTTCAGTTTTTGTGAGAGTTTTGCTTCGCTGTCGAGTCTTCTGTAACTGGTCACCTGGCCTCCTCTAGTAAGTAACTCCGCAGCGAAGGCCTTCTTCCTTTCACTGGTATCTGTCGGAACACTAACCATACACCCAATTTGATGTCAAATATATTGTACATCATCATTTTCTCTTCATACATTTATCCTTTGAAACCAGTCAAGTGAATACTGGAGTTGCTGGCCATCGGAGTGAACCTGATCGACCACTCCCAAATTATTTTCTCCTAGTGAATTCGGCCAAAGATTTTATTGCGAAGCGATGGACAATAGTGAAGTATTGATTAGTTTTTTTTATCGCAAAATAGTCGATTCCTTGATCACTTATAGACTACCCGGTTCGCATTCTCTCGCCAGAGCGTGCACGCTGAGAAAGATGGCCTGACCCCAATAGATTTACGGTGGTATGTGCCGGTAGCTCAGACAGATGAGATAAAATTCCGGCGAGGTGCTGAAAGTCATCGGAGGAAGCGCAAGTGTGACCTGACTAATCAAGATCACAGCGTTATTGGCGTAATAGTGATGCAGTGGTGTACGCCCACTGGTTTAGGTGAGCTAAAAGTTCCAAGATGGTGGATAGTCAATTCAGAGTTTCTTGATGAATCTGATTAAAAACAAGCTAGGATTATTTCACATGCTGCAGAAATCCACTGGTGGTTTGGTGAGAAAGATACTGGTGAGCAAAGGTTTCATTCGCCTTGTGCTGATACCACACCCCTGCAGTGGGGACGTGGTCTTTCGGTGGCCCATGCAAGTAGACGTGGAGTCGAGCCATCGCGTTCCTTTTTCGAGCGCTGGAGACGCACATGTGAGCAACAAGCCAACTACCAGACGGCCTTGCCCATGCGGTTCGGGTGTTTTCCTTGGGCTTGTCAGAGGCTAAAAATGAAACTGACGAATGACTTCATCCCATTGTCCTCAAAGCAGCTGTTCGGAACACAGCCTACTTGTTGGTTGGTTTGTTCAAGGCCGTTGAGCTTCAGGGTCCTTCTGGCAACTTGGCTACCTAAATCCCAAACAATGAAGAATGGCCACTGCACTAGACCCCTGATGTACGGTATGACGTGTTCTCCATCGCAGTCTATTAAAATAATCCACGGTCTCCCGTATCGATCTGACGGCGGATTTTGTCGTGGGGAGTGGATCCGTTGACGAATGCCCATTCGGAGAAAAATGAAGAGGTGTTATCGGGACTGGTCATTCTGAAAACGCCTGGTGCCCTACAGAAAGTGCGAAGAAGGTGCCTAACAGGATGTTGGCAGAACTTTTGGAATTTGGAGAAGTCCAGCTCACCAAACAGACATATGTCTAATTATGTTCAGGCGAAGTTTCCAGTCGACTGACATATTTAATCGGGACAGCTGCTAGTTGTTTCGGTGTTAACATTTAGTTGTCACGTGATCAAAATGTCCGATTTACACCGAGGGTGGGTTCACTAACCATGTAAGCAGGCTGCGTTCTTAACGACCGTCACACAACCGAACAGAATCATCAGTTGGGCCAGCAGAAACACGACCTAATCCTTAGTACCGAACAGAGTTAGCCGCTGACCTCCCGATAGCGCACAACAGCAGTATGGTGCTTGGTTTGTTGTGCACCCGTGCCTGCTGGTCGATAGGTGTTTGACATGACTGACCTGTTATTTTATTTGTCGATGATGATGGGGACTTCAACCCCACCTGACCGGTCTGGCACATGTCCGTGTGCTACCTGCCTCATTTTTTTCCACGAGCCAAGGGCGAACTAGATGTGGCAACGCCGAATTCCCGTCATCCACATACATCCGAATAGATCTTTTATAGCTGGAGCGAACCAGAACTGGTGTTGAATTGCCCTCTACACGACGTACGTGGGACACATACAACGCCTGTGACAGTGAAGCAGTTCTTAAGCTGACGAGGAAATGTTCATGGGATATTCTCGCGAGCCACTCACATTCGGTTTTACACTTCACACCCGTGGACCGAAAATTCTGTAGCCAATGGAAAAACAGCCCATTGTTTTGAGGCAGTCGAAATGGCAGAACGGAGGTTGTAAGACGTGAGCCCAAACAAGACAGACTCAACGATACCTGGATTCGTGAGTTCTTACGAACAAAATTGATACGGTATTGCACATCTGTCATCAAGTTTTCACCATACACAACTTTGTTGGTCGATATGTTTCGAATGGCTCCACTGCTCTGCTGTTCGTTTCGAGTGAATGTATTAGCTCGGGTGCGGACGCACCAAGGCGTATAGAAATGTGTGCAGCAAGTACACTTAGGTAAGGAATGTTTGATTAGGTATGAATAACTAATAGTATACAAGGTGAAGCGTGTAAGCACAATTTGTTGTTTTCGTACCTATCTGCAGGTAATAAAACTGCCTACATGCTTTTAACATAGTTGCACAAACAGTCAAAGCACAGGATTTACCACGTACAATCTCATCCCTGCTCACGATGTTGACATGCATAGCGTCGCTGTGCAGAAAAAGGAACACTAGCAAAGATGTTTACTGTTCAATCCTCTATGATCAATACATGAAAAACCTGTTTGAGTGGGACGTAACATACTACTCATAAGGTTATTGAAAACTCTCGAAAGCCCACGACCGGCTTTGCTGTTCTCGGGGCTCATCAGGTTGGCTTGGTTCTCGCTTTTACCTCACCCTTATGTGTTACTTGAACCCAAACAAGGGGGATTCGTTTGGGTCCCCAGTGAAAACCAAATTGGTAAGGAGCTGGATGTATTTTGCTAGTTTCAGGAAATTTGTGCTCAAGTTTGCAGGAAAGGCTGCACCCTCCTGGTGAGCCCCAGGAAGGTCAAAACAGGTGGTGGGCTGTCGAAGAGATCTCAGCAACCTTATGAGTATTGTGTTATGTCCGCATAATGTATCGCGCATCGTACCGACTTAAACAGGAAGTGGCTCATCATAAACGAGACATTCAGTGGGTCTCCCGTGAAAATTTAATTGGAGTGCAAATGAATGTATTTTGCTGTTCCAGTAAGGTAACGCGGTGTTTCACTGCACTTTTGCTGACCATGATTCAAAGTTGAAAGTAGTTCGTAAAGTTACGGTAGTTAAAATGAGCAATGGAATTCATTGAATGTTCATTGATGACGATGTCTAGCAGTGAAACAAATACTTTTTCTCACATCTAGGTTGCTCACAGTACTTTTGCGACTGTAATACTGAGGACAAGCCTTCACAGAACACCTGGCCAATCTGCTTCTTCCGAGCTAGAAATAGCCAGGATTAGAGTCGATAGACAAATATGGCTACACTTAACGAAGAAATACTCACGTGACCTTCAGACTGTGGGCGTGCGTTGAACCAATCACCGAGTTTTAAACTTCGTGGAGCATTTTCTGTTCTATTTTGTAACTCCGCGCTGCCCACTCGGAACTACAGTGCGTCGAGTGACTGCTCTACTGCGCTATGCTTTCGACTGTGATCTTATATTTCACCATATGGTAAGGAGTAAAGTTCTGCTTCCTAAATATTTCTTCTCCATGATCCATGCTGAAACCACGAATACCTCTGGGCCTACTGGTGAAAGGAGGAAGGCTTTCACCGCGGAGTTAGAAAATGTCAACTGACCACTTACAGACCATTGGACAGGGAAGCAAAACTCTCACTTGCATCTTATCTACAAAAACTAGATATCCATCTTCTCCTGAACGCGTTTTCTTGAACGTTCCTGGATATTTATTGACTCCAATCATTCATTGCTCAAATCCAAGCAAATGCCACAAAGCGACTCCACAAATTATGCAACCGATCTCTCTTTTCAAGAGACACGAAGCGAATTAACAAGAAGAAAACATACTACTAGCATGCCTCTCCCATCAGTAGCATCACCGTTACACTGGTATCACACACGATTCGTGAACAAATTCGGCTAGACAAGTCGTATGGAAGGATTGCTAGGGTTCATAGTAGTCTGCTACCAGTTTTGCCATGTTTCTGGTCCACAAAGTAGGTATGGTTCAGGAAAGCTAACGTAATCAGACTTTTAAGCGCACATGCATGATGAAGTAAGAGGACCAGGAGGATCGATACAGTCCTCTGTGGTTACGAACACATTGATACTGTTCTGCATAAGTTGCAACCCCCACAGGTTGCCTCGAGTTTCGTTGTGAAGGTATTCAAGAATGTTTTTGAATGGAGTGGTACGAGCGTTTCTACGGCTTTGAGCAATAGTTCCATACTACTTACTTCATAAACAGCCGAAGCCTGTTTGAATACGTCCATAAAGGAACCTCTGGGCAGCCTGTGTGCTACACATAATGCAGAGGAACATCTATGCACTACCGATCACAAAGGGCTCCACTGACTCCCCATTTTTAGCAACTTCATCATGCACTCGATCAAATCGCTGCTCATATCAGGGACTGACTCTCTCACGCTCCGGGGACCTGAGCCTCGAACAAGGCCAAATCAGCATTGAATCGGCAGCGGATTTTCAACCTTCGCCCTGTGCACTACTTAATTCACAGTATAGACAATAATTAATGAAATCGATGTCATCGGATCGTATTCTTTCGTATCATCAGGAACGTGCTTGTGCGGTAACCATTCAGCTTTCCTGAAACTCTCACAAGTCGAAGCGAAGTGTAACACATTACGCGAAAGTAGATCAGTGTGTGATTTGGCGAGGACCGCAGAAATGAGCTTAAAAGACTTGACAAATCTTGACATATATAACAACACCAACAATAAGGCATTTTTGGCGTATAAATCCGTGCATGCCAGTATGTTTGAATAGAGCCGGTGGATTGTGGAGCAATAGTGATTGTACGCCATTGGAGCATCTGAAAGCAGTTCGATTTGATTTCACTCCATGGAACAGAATGACATCGAGTGTCACAGAATGAATGGTTGTAAACTGTATCTCATGTGGAATCACTTTTTGTGGGGAGGGATCTGATTTCTCTTACGGTGGGTTTGAGAAATTGTGTACAACACAGGTGTCTCTAATGATGTCAGATCTTTAGATTATCGACATAGATTGATAACAATCTTTTGATTTGCCCAAGTAACTTGAAATCCTTGTGATGTACTACTCATAAGGTTGTTGAAAATCCGTCGACGGCCCAAGACCTGTTTCGCCCTTTTTGGAGTTCATCAGGTAGGCGATGTCCCCGGGTTTCCGTCAACGTTATGTTCTCTTTGAAACCAAATTGCACGAAATTAGCGAATATACACTCATTTGGAAACTAATTTGGTTTTTCGAGAGACTCGCCTGGAACCCAATTGAATCTCTCGTTTGTGATGTTTCCAGGCAACTGAATGTGCTGCACCATGTTTCAGTCGCTACGATATTCGAGATATCGCGATACAAGTATATCTTTGTAATGTACTACTCATGAGGTTGCTGAAAATCCGTTGTTGCCTGAGAACATCACAAACGAGAGATTCAGCTTGGTTCCAGGTGAGTCTCTTGAAAAACAAAATTAGTTTGCAAATGAGTGTTTATTCGCTAACTTGAAATCTTGTTTGGAACAACTATTCAGCTCTTCTTACATACGATCTGGAAACTTGAGGATGAAGCTTGGTCTGATGCCTCAGAGAAGGCACAGAGGGCTTCAGAAAGTTTCAGCCTCATAGAAAACTTCCATCCCGAATGGGGATTAGCATCTATTAGGTGTAGATGAGGTCACTAGTTGGACCGTTAGCTCCTTAATGACCGTCCGTTCGGAGGTGGCGGCTCAGTTTTGCGGAGCCTAAACCACTATCGATCGCGAACAACCTTAATAGCTGGTGACGCAATCCAAGATCCGTGTTCAGTAGTTTAAAAGTCATCTATTCAAATTTGGCTAAAATATGTTCCGTTAAATGTGCCCCAGTCTTCCTCACGTCTCAGAACCGTACCACGGTAAACCATGTGTGTAGGGACGAGATGGTTCAAGTTCTTAGAGCGCGAACTTACTGACCGGAAGGTTCATAGTTCGAACCCGACTTTTGGCCCTCGATTTCTCCTGTCTAGGCTTGGGCAGCCTGGCAGTATCCCAGCCCTGGGGCTTCCTTCGGGTGGCATGGCAGCCAAGCATCAGAAGAGTGTTACAGCTAAACGACTTTTTTCTGAACAATGTGTCGGACTCGATCTACCGATTATAGTGCATGAGCCTAAGAAAAGCAAAATTCATTCTCTCCAAACCCACCAGCCGCAGCGGCTTATCTTCTGTTTTTTTTAAAAAAACAATAAATAAATATTCCAAAACGGATTAGTTCAAATTCGAAGGTAATTAATTCAGCAACTCACCAGAGAAACTATATTAATTATAGCAAGTACTATTCGACATGGTATGTTGCATAGCATTTTTTCGATGGCGTGGGTGGTACACTCTCTATCTGAAAAAAAGATGAAGAGAATAAATACTAGAATTTTCTTTGATCACACTACGTCGAAAGAAAGTGTCCTGGTAATAGACGTAACATACTACTAATAACGTAACTGAAAGCTTTTCGACAGCCTGCTGGGCTTGAATTTACCCATGATTTTCGTGACACACTCGTCACAGGTGACATCGAAGGTTGAAAAATACGGTGAAAGGATCTGTGAAACACGGCAGACTTTGGTGAGGGTCGAGTTTCCTCCTTAATACTACTCAGCAGCACTACACATGCCTGGCCGTGCCGGGACTTGGACGAGGGGAGCTTATTGTAATTATTCCACCAGCACACACGTCCGAACAGGCGGTGTTTGTCCCTGAGCAATCCGTTTGTTTGTCAGACGAAAGTGGAACTCCGCTGGCTATATAGGTGTGTCAACAAGCCAGTCAAGACTTCCCGTTCAGAGGTATCAGGTTAGCCTGCTTTCAGGGGAAAAAGTACATGTTATGTTGCTTTCTGTTATGTCTCCGCGTAACTACCTCATTCGTCGTCCTCAAACTGTTCTCGGTAGAGTTGGGAAACTCCGGCTTCATTCAACGGAGTATCACTTTCCCACAATTCTTTATCTGACTCTTTGAAATAAAATTCCAAGGCAAGTTAAATTAGGATTCTTTTTAGCCTTGATTGACTTGCGTCCGCGTAGAACTTGGCAACTTCTGAACCTGAGCTGGTCCGGTCCCATAAACTTGTCTGACGTTAGTGTCACTCTTGCTTTGGTAACGCCCACCCAAGCATTTTCAGCCTTCCAGAAATACACTCATTTGCAAATCAATTTGGTTCTCACTAGCGACTCAACTGAATTTCTCGTTTATACTATTCTACAACTGAATGTGCTGCGAAACCGGTCATGGGCTGTCGAAGACTTTTCAGCAACCTTGTGAGTAGTCATCCTTCAGCTTCCTTCAACAAAACATATGCATTTTTGTTTCCCACATAACTTTCTTACGTGAATGAGGGAAAACAAGCTTTGTTCACTGCCTTCGATTTTCTCTAACTTTCATGGGTATCTTCAACCATTTGCTTGATTTTGCTTTATAAGTCTACTTGAATAAACCCCTTAACGCGACAGCATGTGGTCAAGCTTTCACGTGAGTACACACTCGTTTCTGATTAATAGCATGTCTTTTTGAGCAAAGTTGAACAGATTCGGGTCATTTGTGATGTCATTCGTGATTCATTTCTAATTTGGAGTTAAAGGGTGTCCTTGTTGTTGTGACCATGATTTAAGCCGGATAACAAAAGCCAAAAAACGCGAATAATATATATACATATATGCATACTCGAAAGATTATTTTCGGCCTGGTAACGTAGGACAACAAGATTTTATTTTTGTCCACCTGCTTTTAAACTTCTGTGGCGGTACCTGACTAAGAAGTTCGGACAGGCGGGTCAATCGATCGACAGAGTCAGGACTGTTGCCGGATCGAGCAAATCAAAACAAATAAATCAGCCGTGCTCAGTGTGCGTTGGTGAAGTAGCGATATGACGCTCATCTAGCATGTTAGATGCCCGGAATTCGAATCCCTGTACCGACAATGATATGCACTACCAATGTGTTCTAATAAGTGCGAAAATCGTATCTGGCGCTTTCCAGATCAGATCAATTCTGTAAAGACAAGAAAGGACTCTTCAAACAAAATTAAGGTGAACAGGAGGGACGTTGTGAGCTGTAAACGTTTGGTCCAAGTTAGACCACCTCGCTACATCAGCCAATGAAACGAGAACCTATGTTTAGTCAGTTATAAGGCTAATCTGATACACCGAAAAGTTCCCTTCATGTTACTTCTAGCGGCAGAGATCACATTCTATTGGCCAATCGTTTGTTAAATTTCCGGTGAAGCGGTCGAAACTATAGTTCAAAATCCGGATGGGCTTTACCTACTGTCATTCAGAACTCCCACCAAAACTGAAAAATCCATATTTGAAAACACCAAGTTATGCTTCGACAGTAGAACTGAATTTATACATTTACCTTTCAACGTGATAAGTAAATCACTTTTAGTGTACACCGCCCATGAAGCAGCCATGAGCAGCAGGGCAATGTTTCGATCCATTTGAGGATATACGTATTCGAACTCCGCAATTCCTACCGGTCTAATTTATTTGGGAACGAATATTTTCGTGAATCATCAACTGTGTTTGTTTACTGAGCCACAAAAAGGGTCAAGCTGGTAAAAGGCATCTGGTAATCTTCCCAGGGGCGAGCAGTTAAACATACGAGTAAGTGGAGCAGTATAAGGGTCTATGCACACTAGCGCCAAGCAGTTGGGTTTTCGCCGGCCGTATCGCATTGCCTGATTTTGAGATGTTTTCGTACACGTAGAAGTAAAATCATTGTAGCAGACTGATTTGATTGCCAGGGGAGCACTGATATAATTAAAAAAAGAGGTGGTTAGGTTTAAATAACCTCTTGTTCATTGGCGACCGGATACTGAACAACCTCAAAAGCAATAGGATAGAACGTGTACAAACAACTAAAGGCATCCATATTTTTAAAATATTTAAAGCTGATCTACCAAACTTTCATAGTAGAACCCTAGTTCCTTCCATAAAACTTAGAAAAATGAACGCTCGGACAAACGTGGAAAGACAGCGTGCCTCCTAACACAGACAGACTCTCTAAAGGCGAACTTCGTATACATAGCAGTATAGTTTCACATCAAACTTTCTGTCTTGTACCCAGTATATTCTGCAGGCCCTGTTTCAGTGGAGGAACAAGTTGGAAAGCATTCATGCCAGATGAGTGTTTTATCCATGACGTATAATTTATTACACACAAAAGATTTTGGCTTAGCTCCAAGGCTGTCTGAAGGTCACCGAATACCTTCACGAAGTTCAGGGCGCTTGCCTCAGGCTCGGTGATTGATGCATCAAATGAGTTAGCAAGGGTTGAAAATGAGTCGTCGAAGAGTTCCGGATGGAGTAATGTTACGCTCTCAACACTCCAAAGCACGCCATGTGTCACACTAATCGATTATGTGTCATGTATCAAAACTGTGTCTAAGAGACACGAAATCATGTGGCTGTACCCTAAGAATTGCCTTCACTTATGGTATCAATTCACCTTGAAAGGGATTTCATCTGCTCCTAACTTGGTTCCAACGTTATTGTACCATAATTTTGTAATTAACACTTGATTCCTGCGGAATTAGTTTAAAAGCGTGAATATATTATGATCGAACTCACAGAACGTTTACCAACAGGGAGTTGAAGCGGCACACCCGAAATCTAACTAATGGCAGCCTCAGTTGTACAGGTTGTGTAGTTCATTCGAACGGACCAATCATAACCGTGGGCAAATCCAGCCAATTAGACTTGCAGATTGCACCGTTGATCAAAGATCACACAACGCTACTCCGTTCGCCCACAGATGGACATCTCAAACTATGTGGATCGAACAAGCCAATTTATTACTAAAATTGATCGATTGGTTGGTAGTGCATAGAAGAATCACCATATGTCGTGAGAAAAAATGCAGCAACCACACGTAGGACAAACAAAAACCAAGCTTGAGTAAACGAAATCATGCAACCAGTGCGTGGACGCCTTTAGGTTAGATTTTGTTAAAAATGTTACAAGTTAGCACGAAATTCGAAGGTGGGACAAGTGGGGATCCGCCCAACAGATTGAGCAAAGCACACTAATTTTTGACTAACGACCTAAGCTCAAAAGTGGAGTGCGTGTCCAAGAAGATATTTGGTTTGTCACAATATAGATCAGTCATTGATTTTTCAGCCAGAGCTTATCATAGAACAGCCAGAAAACCCCTGCATTCAGAGGGCTCTTGGGTTTTTTCCATACCTCATTGTTCCGAGTAGTGAGTACATCGTCATCTTGAGTATGGAATTTACGCAAGCCTGGTGATATTGAATAGGTTATACGTGGACCCAGCACAGTCACGTTAAATTTCAAAGAGTACGTGTACAGTTTTTCACTACATTGTTAATAACGCGGGATTAGAAAACGGGTATTTGTTTGCGCTGCAGGTAGTTGAGTCCGGAACTACATCCAGCACCACCGACGCATGCCGAAACACTGTCTATCGAGACGAGTGTTGTTCCCCGTGCCTCCTTCAGGATGGCGAACCGCGAAGGGACAGCGTATGACTTGGTAGAAAGGCGTGAAAGAGATCACAAAGAGTTTGGGTGCTGTTGCTGTTATACGCTTTCCGGGATGGAGACGCTGCAAGAAATGGCGGCTAATCGATGTCGATGGCCTTTCCAGTTTCCTTCCAGATTGTCTCTTTGAGCGGTTGGAGGTGTAGGCACCCTTTGAATGCTTGACATAGGCCAGTACTTGGTTCCCTCCCTCACCCACATTTTTCTCTTCTTTTCACTCTAGGGTTTTTATTATAATTATAAATATACATATATATAACTAGACGAGCCTTATGCATGTAGGGTGGTGAATCATTGGTGTTAAGACCGACGTTGGGGTCTTTGGTGATGATGATGCTGCTGCCGATGATGCTGATGATGGTGATGATGAATATGAAAACGATGATGATAATGATGATGATGATGATGATGATGGTGATGATGTTGATGATGATGATGATGATGATGATGATGCTGATGGTGTTGATGATGATGATGA